TTAATTTTAGTTAGTTTTCATCATTGCTAGAGATAATGGAAGCCTTTTACGTGATTCTTTAATGGAACAAACAGTACAATTATTAGATACATTAGCTAATGATTTTCCGCTTGGTGGACGTCCATTTAATCAATTTTGTACTCATTTTTGTCAAATGAATGAACCTATTAGACAATTTTCTGTAAATTTTTTTGAACTTCATTAAAAAATGAGGATATTCCGTGTAGTTACTCCGGCTATCATGCCCTTTGTTAAAATAACCATTATTATAATGCCTAGTGCTGGCATGTTTAACTGAGGGCGTATTCTTGTTTATCCCTTTACAAGTATTAGACCCCTGATGACAGAAGATCAGGAGTCTATTGTAATTACTATTATTTACTTATAGTGATCCTGTGAATTTTTTAAAAAATCCTTAGTACAATGTTCCATTTCATATCTTATAATAATTACATTAAATTTTAACAATAAAATAATAATTAATTATAAATATTTTTTCTGTAGAATGGACTTTCAGTACGTAAACGTCATTTAGAAGCATTAAAGGATGGTGGTGGAGAGATAAAAGATGGGATTTATTTAAATCTTTCATTTCCATTTATGTCCCTTTTTGGTCACCAAGTCGATTTAAGTCCACATTTTTTTGGTGCTGAAGTTGATAAAAATGAAGGGGAATTAAAATATCTTCGTTTGGCTCTTTTACAATTTAAAGCAGACAAACCAGAAAATGTTAATTCTTTTGATGTACTTAGTTGGGAAAGGAAAATTGTTAATTATTTACATAGGTGGGTATTTTTAAAAATATATTTTTAATTAAAAATTTTATTCGAATATTAACAACTAATCTTAATGTATGATTTTTTCGTCCCCAGGAGCGTAAACTATAATGAGTTTCGATAGTACTTATAATTTAATATTTTCTTTAAATTTTCCGTTCTTTTAAACGGGAAAATGATTTTAGCCCTCGCAAAAATTAGTTTTCAAAAAAACTTTTAATTTAAATAAAAATTAATTTTAGTGAATATAAAGGTGATTTACGACCTTTAGTTTTCTCGATGGGGTTTGTAGCTGATGAAGTTGTCAGAACAGGAATGACACTTTTCCCTTTTCTTTCTGTTGGTTTTGTTATTATGTGTGGATTTTCAATTGGAACTGTTGCTTTAAGTGGACTCCATTTTAGACAATTTTCTCGTCAAAAAGTATTTAAAAATAAATTAATTAATTTTATTTAATTAATTTAAAGGTAATAATGGCAATAATTGCTTGTTGTTGTCCATTATTTGCTTGTGCTACAGCTTTAGGCCTGTTAGTATTTTTAGAATGACTTTCGACCTTCAAAGAAAGGATTTTTTTATTAGGGTGTTTACTTTAAAGACAGAAATTCTGGTTCCGTGACCCTAACAACCAGAATCTTAGGGTTACCGTTTTTAAATTAAATAGAGATTTTTGAATCTTTCGAGTCGACCCACTATAGCAACCTTAATCCTGGTAAATTATATAGAAGGAAATAATTTTATGACACTTAAGTTTGAGGGAGAATTCTTGACAAATATTAAATATTTTCTTAAAATATTTAATTAAAATTAAATTTAAAAAGATTGTTTTGGTTTGGTGTCCGTTTTGGAACAATTTTGTGTGTTTCCCCATTCCTTGTTTTAGCAATAGGGGTAGATGATGCTTTTTTAATGTTACAAAGCTGGCAAAGAATATGTTCTTTAGCGGAACAATTAAATGAGGAAGAAAAAGAAGAAAATAATAATTTAATAGAATTGGATGAAAAATTAGAAAAATTAATTTGTAAAAGGCTGGGACAAATGTTGGAGGATGTTGGGCCTTCTGTTACTATTACTTCTGCTACTAATTTTTTAGCTTTTTGTGTTGGTATATTTACGCCGACACCAGAAATACAACTTTTTTGTGCTGGAAATGCTTCGGCTATTTTTGTTGATTATATTTATCAAGTAAATATTTTGAGAGAGTTTTTTTTATTAAAAAAAGTTTTTTTCCTCTGTTTTGTGTGATTGTCCTTCGAAAATAATTTTAAAAAATAATAATAAAAAATAAAATAAAATAATTTTCCCTTCCAGGATATCGTGTAAATTTTCCTCTCATTTAAGTTAGGTATCTGACTTTCAAGTATTCTAAAATTTAACAAAATCCCTTGAATGATTAAAATTTTTTCCATATATTTATTATTATTGACCCCCTCGAAATTAAGGGATATATTTTGGAGAATCTTTCATTAAATCTAATTAAAATTTTAGCTTAATCTCAAAATTATTTTTTTATTTTAGTTATTCTTATTTACTCCATTTTTGGCAATTTCTGCAAAATGGGAAATGAAGGAAAATGCTAAAAAGCGTTGCCGACATACTTTACCAGTTCAAAGACGTTTTTTCTTAAAAATTAGTCAAAAACTTGCACAGTTCTTACGGGCATATTGTCGATGGATTTCTAGTGGATTTACTGCTACTTTAGTTGCTACAACGCTTTTGATATTTTGGGGACTTTCAGCAAAATGGGCTTCGAGAGCAATACCTAATATAACACCGAGAAAATTATTTTTGGCTGATTCTCCACTCAATGAGGCAAGAAAAAGGACTTTTTTCCTAAAATATTTTTTGTCCATGGGGTTAAGAGAAGAAATTTAAATTAAAACAGTTGATTAGTTATGCTATTAAAAACCCTTTATTAAATAAGCCTTTGGAAGCAACTCCACTAACCAATGACTAAATAAATTTTAAAAAAATCGTAAATTGAGGAGTATACTGGGAGTACCTTGTAGTGAGGTTCTAACTGTATTTATTATCCTTCAAATATGTACCTTGAAACTTAAATTTAAAAAATTTAAATAAAAAATCTAATAATTTTCATTCTTCAAAAGTGTGCAGATAATAGCTTTAAAAGACGAATATATTATGCCCAGCTACATGCCAGTTTCTATATTTATTGAAAAAGTTGGAGATTTACGAAATCATTCAAAAATGGAGAGAATTCAATCTTTAATTGAGACATTTGAAAAAGAGCCGAATAATATGGGGGCTCCTTTTACTCATTTTTGGCTAAGAGATTATGAAAGATATTTGGCTAGTGAAATAGCTGAGGAAGAAAATGATGAAGAAATTGAAGAAAATAATCAAACAAAAAATCAAACTTCAAAACAGCCTTCTTTTAGACATTCACAAATGTCTTCGTTTTTAGGATGGCCAGAATATCGGCATTGGAATGGATTTTTACGTTTTAACAAAAATGGACATTTGGAAAGTTTTTTTGTAATTACAGCCTTTCATGGGCCTGCTTTAGTTGAATGGAATAGTCGAGCTAATTTACTTGGGAGATGGAGACAAATAGTTGATAATTATACGGATATTGGAGCTTTTGTTTGGGTAGAAGAATCGCAGTTTTTAGATCAGATTGAGACGTTAGTGCCGGCTACTGTACAATCCTCTATTGCTACTTTGTAAGTCCCTCGATTTAAGATGTAATTTTTTAAGTTGATTGTCCATTGCGAGTGAAATTGCTCACAATCTCGAATTATAAGGAACGATTACATATTTCAATCCCAAGGGGTTATCTAAAAATTAAAAAAATGTATTGTCCTTCCCTCGATTTTATGTAACAATTTTGCATATGTATTAGCCTGACTTTAAATTAAGTGGGAAAAATCGCAGGTCTCCCCTTTTATTTTTTAACATAAAAGGCTTTGTATGTCAATTGTATGCTCAGTTTTTATGTCAAATATATTCACTGTTGCAATTGCCACAATATGTATTGTATCAATTTGTTTGGGGGCATTTGGATTATTAGTTTTATGGGGAATTGATTTAGATCCTATTTCAATGGCCACAACAATGTAAAATAATTTTTAATGAAAAATTTGATTAAAAAAATATTCAATTAGAATGTCAATCGGTTTTTCTGTTGATTTCCCCGCCCACGTTACTTATCATTACTATAGATGTTCTAAATTTGATGATGGTCGAATGCTAAGTCCAGAACAAAGAGGTTCTCATTAAATTAAAAAATATTTTTTAAATTTATTTTTTAAAGTTCATGCTTCATTGTTAGCTATAGGATTCCCACTTTTGCAATGTGGAATGAGTACAATACTTTTTGTACTTTGTCTACTTTTTGTAGACACTTATATGAGTGAAGTAAGCTTCTCCCTCTTTAAATTTTCAAAAAAAATTTTTAAAGGTTTTTGTCAAGTCTATGTTCCTCGTAGTCTCTTTAGGTTTACTTCACGGTTTATTTGTTGTCCCTTCTATGCTATGTGCCCTCTCAAATATTAATTTATTGTTGGAGACAATCAAAAAGGTTAAAAGGAAAAATTTAACAAAAAATTTCTTAAATTAATTTTTTTAGCAAATTTTTTCTCCATCCAATCACCGCCCATTCTCTGCTAATGCTAAAAGAAAAAATTCAATAAATAGCTACAAATTACAAAGAAAATCAAGTAGTAAATTGGTAATATCGGTTGTGGGACCTGGTTAAATTTAAAATTATTAAAAAAATATTTTTTTAATTATTCTTAATTCTTTTTTTGTTTTAAATCTCATTCAAAATTAATTAAAATAATTTTTAATAAAGAATAAAAATTTAATTTAAAAGCTTTACCAAGACACAAAAGAATATTTTAAATGTGAAATGAGAATAAATGTGTGCTGGTTATTTTAGAGAGGGGGATTTTCTTAATTCAAATAATTTTTAATTAGTTCCCATTCGGAATTATATTTAAAGAATTGTCAATATAAAAGTTAAGCTTATGTTAAGAGCCAAGGCATTTCGTAAAGAAAAATATCCAGCACTGAAAAAACGTTAATTTACAACCATAGAATTGTCTAAAATAGGTGTATATCTTTAAAAAAAAATTAATCTATAATTTTACAATTTTTCAGAATTTACTTCCCTTTATAAACCATTCTTTTTTAAATAAATTTCATCAATTTCAAAAAACCACCATCATCACATAATTTGATTTAAAAGTTAAAAACACCTTTCTAACCGCGTGGCAAATGATCAACGGGTGTATCAAAACGGAATTCAGCCGGGAATAATTCTGCTGCTTTTGGCAATAAAAGGCGATAAGTTTGCCTAATTGTATCTTCAGCAACACCGGCAATTTCTCCAATTTCTAAAAAGAATTTATTCAAAATATATTCAAAAAATTTAAAAAAATAAATGAAACAAACCTTTAGCTGTTCGTTTTTCAGCACTAGCTTGTGAAGCCATATAAATAGCGGCAGCAGCAATTGAAATTGGACTTCGACTAAAGAAAGAAAACTTTATTTTCTAAGAATTATTTTAAAAATTCCTACCCGGCAACCAAATCCAATTCCACAGCCTTTTTAGCAACTCTTGTAGCCGCTACTTGAACAGGATAAGGCAAACTTAAATTTCCGCAAAAACGTGACTAAAAATGGAGAAAATTTATTTAAAAATAAAACAAAAAAAACCATGAAATCAGCACTCGTAATTAAATCCAAATTTGTTTCAAGTGTTTTGGTAATTAGCCGGAAACAACGACCAATTTCTTTTTTAGAAACTTTTGAGACGGCACAAATTTCTTCAAAAAATTTTTAAAAAAATCAAGAGAATTAATAAAAGCAGTTAACCTTTAAATGTACGCGGTACTCCTTCTTCGCGACAAGCAATGTACAAACAAGCCTATAAAAATGAAAATTTTGTGGAAATTTGTGAATCAAACCGCAGCCTGAGCTTCATTACTTTTCCCACGCAAAGCTTTAGACTCAAGAACTTCCTTGAAACGTTTAGCAGCTCTATCTTGAATACTTCTTGGTAAACTAATTTTTTCACTCATTTCTCTTATCAACATTAATGCTTGGGTCATTTGGCGATCAGAAGAACTAATTAATTTTCGTTGTGCATTTGCCAAACTTTAAATAAAAAATAATTATTAATAAAAAAATAATTATTTATACGCTCTATCGCCTTCTGAACCAAATGCAACTGCAATACTAGTTGAAAGATTAGCACCAGAAAGCAAGGGATTGTCTGGAGCACCAACACGAGACTAAAAATTATTATTTTTTAATTAAAACCATATAGGGAAAATTGTGATAGGAAAATTGTTGTGGGAAATTTTTCTCTAAAGAATTTTCTCTTAAAAAATTTGTAAAATAAAGTCTGTTCTGTTTATGAGGAATTTTTTGTTTTGGCATTTTTATCAGAAACCTGGATGATATAATCATGCTTTCTGCTAAAGCGTGTATTTAATTCTATTAAATATTTAATTTAAGGAAAACCGAAAATGCCCCCACGCGGGATTGAACCGCGGACCTCCAGTTTACGAGACTGACGCTCTACCACTGAGCTATAGAGTCACGATTTAGTACATTAAATGAAGTAAAGTTAGTTATTTAATTACACCAAAAAATAATTAGAACCCATGAAATGATCATAAAAATACCAACTAACCGGATCATTGCCAGAACGTTCATCACTGAAAGATCGCCATTCAGTACCAACATCAATTAATCTGAAATAAAATACTCAAGTAAAATATAAATTTAGAAAAACCTTTCTCCCACAACCAATCCACATTGAGTGCAAATTAAATCACCTGCCCTATGGTCCTCAACTAAACGAGCATTTGGGTGCGCTGGACATCCAACTTCAGACATTTTCAAGTAATTATCAAAATATTTTAATTTAATTATATGAAATAATTTCACGAAAAACAAATATTTAAAGATTTTTAAACTCTCTAGCAAAAAAAATATATAAAAAATCAAAAAATTGAAATAAAATATTTAAACTATATATTAATCAAAAAATAATTTGGGACAGAATAAAAAATTATTCCTTTTTAGATTTTGTTGAAGAATCATCTCCAGTTTCAACAAGAGGTACTTTGCTTAAATAAAAATTTTTTTTTCAAAAATAATAAAATTTAAATAAACCTCCTCTCCTGATATCTTTTAATCCTTTCTGCTTCTTTCCTTTCTTTCATTTCTTGAAGCAAAAGAGTATGGTCTGTTGCAGACGTCTTAAATTTAATAATAACTGAATTTATTAAAATAAGCAAAACCTTTCTCTTTTCGTCTAATAATGCATCTGACTTTTGTTTTACATTTTCTCTCATTTTATGAATTACTTGAACCATTTCCTCAAAAATAATTTTTATTAAAGTTAAAATTAAAAAATACTTCAGCTTTAGCTGTACGAAATCCCCAAATATTATAACATGCAGCTCGAACGTGTCTATCTTCACCAGCTGCTAATGAATCGAGTAAAGAGCCAAGGCCAAATGTAACTTCATCAAATGTAACTCCATCTAATCCTCCACTAAAAATAAATATTTAATTTTTAGACAAAATATAATTTGTCTGACAAATAAACTTGACTTTTTAATTAAAATATAAAAACTAACCGAACATCTCTAATAAATTTTTGATGCTCTTTGTCATTAACATAATAATCCCTTGGAGGAAATAGAGCAGCAGCAACACAACTAACAATATGTATAAATTAGTCATAATATTATATAAAGTTTATTACATACCGTCCTTCGAAATTTAAAAAATTAAATGTAGTAGCAGCGTCCTCCTAAAAACAAAAATAATTATCAGTTATCCAACTTTCAAGATAGTTCTGTAATTTTATAGACATAATGGATATATTATTTATAGGAAAGACAAACAGCGAGGTAAACATGTTAATTGCCAAGATCTCCAAAAAAACTGGCAAAGTGAATAAAAAGGAATAAAGAAACTACGAGGACCGAAATAAATTTTAAAACAAATTTGAAAATCTCAAAAAAACCAACAGAGTCCAGAATTTCAAATCCAATCCGAGCCTTAGAAATTGCTGGTCCAACATTTCTCCTAACAATGTCAATGTCGGATTTATTCCCTGCTCCAATTAGAAGGATATCCAACTAAACATATTTATTTTTATTTAAAAAAAAAAGAATAACAAAACCTTTGGTTGTAACATAAAAAATAATTCTAGAGATTCTGGTGTTATGTCTGAAGGAGATAAAACACGCCAAGAAAGCGTTGTTTTAGGAAAAACTGCTATAGGGCCAAAAAGAAAGGATTGATCGACTAAACGAAAACCAACAGAACTGACAGTAGCTATTGAAGTCTAAAGAAAGAAAATTAATAACTCGAAAAAAAAATTTAAAGAAAACCAATTGTTGAGCCTCCATATCTTTTGAAATAAGATTAACTCGAGAAGAGGCGCCAACATCACCATCACCAAAACGTCCAAGTTCGAAATGGAATCTAAAATGTTTGAAATATTTTATTCAATTATTAGGAATGCTGTGAAAAAGGTTGAGGGTCTATAAATTGGTTGGACTAAATTATGTTAAATTATATTCTAGCATCTGAGCCACCTTTCACTTATTTGTTCTCAAGCAATTAACTAAATCCTTCAGGTCCGAAAAAAATTAAATTTCCAAAAGGTATTCAAATAGGCCAGAAAACAATTAAAATTTAAATAAAACTAACTCATCCTTGTTATTCTTTACATCATCCATATCCTTTTCCCATTTCCCGTAAGTAGCATAAAACCTCGACAGTCTCCTATTTCTCAAAAACAACGATGAAATCTTTTGTAGGCGCATTTCTTACTTGAACAAAATCTAAAAAATTGAAAAAAAAACAAATTAAATATCAAAGCAACTTTAACTATAGAATAAAAAATACAATTTTATTCAAAAAATTTATTGTTCAAATAAAAATATGGCAAATCTAAAAAATATATTTTTATAAAAATAACTACAAATTTTTAATTAAAAAAATATGAATTTAGTACAAATATGTAAGGAAATTATTTAGTGCTGACATGAGTAAACATTTAAGTTCTGGACATTAAATTCTAAAAATTTTCTCATTAGGAGCTTGCTCCATCAGTAGAATTTTAACAGATAAAACGAATAATCATTGCCAGCAATGAAATCTAGTTGACAAAATAAAGGCACAGATTTAAGAGTAAATGTTTCGTTAAAAATGCCAAAAAAAAATAAATTTTACAAATTAATTACAATTTAATTCAAATATAATTAAAATAGGGTTGTCACACGTCCCCGTCCACCTGTGAGTAAACGGATCACTATTTACCCCTTTAAACTCCACTTTTTTCCTCCTTAAGGTGACAACCCTAATTTAAAGTTTGCTTACTAAAATTCTTTTTTCTAGTTCAAGTATTAAAATCAAATTAACCTTTAATTTGTTGTGAAAATATTTCCTTTTCATTTTCTTTTACACATTTTTGCCTTCGCTCTTCCTCCTCTTCTTCCCGTTCTAATTGTTTAAGTCTTTCAGCCAAACATTCATTAAAATGTTTGTCATGTTCAGGAGAAATAACATCTAATACTTCCTTTGCATTTTGAAAATAACGCGTATGCAGAGCAATATTGTGATAATCACCTTTAAATATTTTAATTACAGGTTAAAAATATTATTACTTTAATTTTGTAAAAATTATCAGTAAAATTTCGTCTTAAAAATATTTTTCAAAAAAATTTTTTATTAGACCGTTCATGCAATCAGAATGTGATGAACATATTCGCCATCCTTTCATTGTAAGTTCAAGAGTGTATGGCTGATCTTTGAGTCATAAAAATATGAAAGGTTTTAAGCATAACAAAAAACCTTTGTATGTTTTTATATTTACAAAAATAAGGTCAGCAGTCCGAGGAAGAATTTCAGAGACAGAAATTTGCTTAACCTAAATTAAAAAATAATTAGAAAAACAATTTTTAAAAAATAAACATGTGTAGCCAATTCATGAACAGCAGCTAAAGCCTCCAATTCTAAAGATCCATGCATTGAAGCAATACGGCGTTGACCACGTTCCACCTCCAAATGAAGTTGTCGATTAAGAGTAGCAATATCTTCAAGTAAAATTGGAGAACTAAAAAATGATTTTCTTTTTTTGATAAAATTTTAAAAAACCCAATGCTTCGACACTGTCGGATTTTTTGAGACAAAGTTCCCTCTGAAGAAAGGGAATCGCCAAACGTCGTAAGATTGAGAGGCGCCCCAGTAGTTGCCGGACTATGCGCTTGACTGCGACTTGATTGGTATATTTTGGCAGCTGATTGCCATCGCTTAAATTGGAAAATTTTGATTAAAATTTTATAAAAATTACAAAAATAAAATAATTCAGTTTTAACATAACAGCTAAAACTAATAATTGTAATAATTTTAATCAATTTTAAGCTAGTAATAAACATAGAAAATTTACATGTGAATCTTGTTGGCGATATAATGGCGAAACACCCAAAGAGTCAGCCAAATAATTCGCTTCTGAGCCAGAAGTAGCTGGCGTACGTGGCGGTTGAATAAGCTGTTGTGGATTTTCGGAAGAGCCAAGCAATTGAGAATTGGCTGAACAAATACATGAAGTATTTCCAATATTAGTAGAATTCATTAAAATAATTAATTTTTAAATATGTAACTAAATAAATGTCACGAATTTATAAAAAAAATCAACATTTTAATTTTTTTATAGGCGCGGATCCGCGCCGAATAGGTTTATAAAATTTTTTTATAGGCGCGGATCCGCGCCGAATAGGCGCGGATCCGCGCCTATTCGGCCGCGCCTATTAGTCCCGCTCCGAAATATCCATATTTTGCCAAATCCATATTTTGCCAGTAACTAAAATCCACATTTCGCCAACATACCATATTTTGGAACTGGTTTCCGGTCCTAATTTCAAAAAACCGGTTATCGACTCTGAATTTTTGTTAAATATCGGTTATTTGGACCTCTAAATATAAATTCGTCAGGAGTACTGGATTTTTTAAAGGATTTGGTGGATCTTTAAAAATCATTTGGACAAAACAATCTGTCATTTTTTATTTTGCCTTTAGTTCTTTATTTGTAAAATTATCTTATTACAGTACTATAAAAGGCATGCCAGCTCCTATTAACCAACCATCTTCATACAAACTCACGCTTGGCTCGTCTATTCTAGCTTCTTGTTGTAATCCCTCCGGCAGGTAATATACAATTTGCCACTTTTTATTTTGCTTCAAATGTTTTCTTTTTAGTTTGCTCCAGATGGAATCCGATGAAAGCGCGCAACGTCGGGTTAAGGGCCGTAGCTTAGTCGCTTTCGCAAAAATGCGCAATATCGAGATAGAAAAGGACTACACAGAAATCTCAGCCAACGAGCGTCATTTTGTGCGTTTCTTCGAGGCCGACAACATGAATGTAAGAAGAATTTCTCTAAATCGCTAATTTCATAATCGAATGAATTTTTTTGTTTTCAGCGCAGCCAATACGATAACGTTCCACTATATGACAAGGATGCTGTTCGTCTGTTGCCCAGTTCCGGTGTAAGCGATTTTGTGCATGCCAGTAAAGTGATCACATCTGGCGGAGAGGGAGGTTACTACATCATCGCCCAAACACCGCTGGTCAATCCATCAAAGCCTCGTATCGATACTCAATTCAATTGGTAGATTAAGGACATAAAACATAACCTTTTCTCTTTTATCAGGTTGCGCATGTTGTGGGAGTTCAATGTGTACGTTGCTGTTTGCCTCGTCAACCTTGGTCACGAAAGCGAATGCGACTACTACTTCAACAGGAGCAGAGGCGAGACATATAAAGTGAGGATTTAAATTTAATTATTCTAAGTACTTTTGTTCGGTTTTGTTCTTCAATTCTGCAAAAACTTTATTTTTAAAGGTCAACAACTTCGAAATCACAACCTTGGATGTTGGCACAGATGTCAACTGGTGTTGGACGTATTATCGCCTGAAAATATCACGCAAGGAGGGAAAGAAACGTTATGAACGTGTCATCCAGCTTGTAGTGTGTCGAAACTGGACGGTGTGTTTATTTTAGTTTTGAGTGGCCGATAAACCTGTAGTTAACCCTTAATTTTCTAGGATGACCCACGGTTCAGTCCAATGAACTACAAGGACTTGTCTGATCTTCTACACTTTGTTTGGTCGCTCGAGAACGATTCAGCAAGTCAACGACGAGCTCAACATGGGTCAGTTGGTGAACGATCGGTGTTGCATCCAACTTTGGTGCACAGTAGAGCTGGTATGAATCGAGCTGGGACTTATGTAGCTGCTTCTATTTTTGGCCGTCGAATGTCTGGTAAACATACTCGAACGCTAAGGTCCGGAAAGTTTAGTAAAGATGATCCATTTGTTTTATTTTTAGCCTGAACCGAGTTGTGAAGGTCTGCAAAAGTCTGAGAAGTACTCGTTACGATATTCTGAATCGCCGTTCGCAGTTTCTTCTTCTCCTTGAAACTATTCTTGAGCTGGCTGTCCGCAGTGGGACTGTAAACGAAAAGGATGTTAGTCGTGCCCGTGATGTTCTCCGACGGTGAATCTTTTTCGTTTTACATAAAAATTGAAAAAAATTTCGTTTTTAGTGTCCGTGATGAGATTGGTAAGACACGAGCAAAAGCAAAAGGAGGCTCATCACGGTAAGGATTGAGACTTGTTTATAAAACAATTTTTGATTTTTTAGTAGCCGTGGCTGAGCTGCTATGAGCATCGACAACATGCTAGGACGATACTTGTGTAAAGAAAGAGAAGAATTATTTTGATAGATCGAATCTAATATAAAATTAATCTAATATCATATTGTAATTATTTGTTTCTGTGTGTGACATATAATTGGTATTTTTATGTTGTGATAAATAAATACTTATCTAATGTAAATTTATTTCACAAAAATTAAGGTGGCACGAATTTTCGTCAACGGACTTTCCGTCAATGGACTTTCCGTCAACGACTTTTCGTCAATGAGTGGATGTTTTTTTAATTTTGAGAGAAATAGAAGATGATACATGTATGTAAAAGTGTATCAGATTGAAAATTAGACTTATTTGATAACTCTGAACAAAGTTATAAGCAATTGTGTCACTACGAAGGATAGGTAGGCTTTTCAAGGCTGAAAATTGGTAAAAAGGAATAGGTTTATGTTACCGGTATAGAACCCAGTAATCGTAGACTCCCCGCGAGGCGCGTGCCGCAAAACCCCGCGCGAAGCGCGGGGTTTTGCACAAGCGCCTCGCCGACGCCCCATAGGTTATTCGAGAGTATTTTTTTTGTTATTCCAACACTTCGCTGTTGGAATAACTTTATTATTTTATTTTGAAAACAAAATTTAGTTTAAAATTTAGTACACAAAATTTTTAGCTAAAAAGCTAAAAAACAAAACTGCATTGGTAGTGTAGAGAACCATTAGAAAACTACACATAAATGAATTATTTAGGTCTAGGATTTTTAGTAGATGATTGTTTTTATCATTCACAGATCGTAAACAATAAATTGATGGAATGAAAAAATAAATTTTCAAATAAATTAGTATATTTTTTTAACTGTATTACCATATTTATTTTTAAATTTCTTTTGTATGATTTAACTAACTCCATAAGTGATCCTTGTGGATCCAGAAGTATTTATTTTATTGTTTCACATTTTATTTGTGTCGATAAAAAAAATTTTACCGATTTTTAAAAATTCATAACTTTGCCAAAAATGCTCATTGGCTTATCAAAATTTAAAGATCTGTTTGACAATTTTTGACTCGGGGCTAGAGCAAGGAAAGGCATGTTTTAATTATCCCCTCCAACGAGACGTCGATAATTATTTAAGATATACATTACCTCATTATTAGATACGATTCTTTAGCCACGTGTGTGTATCTAAGGGATTTAATATTATTTTTTCCTCATACTACCTGATTTATTTCTTTGTTTATCATCCTTCCCTTCTCTTTTATACATATTTACTTCCAAAAATATTAAAATTTTGAAGACCAAAAAGTTTGGTTGTCTTTGTTGTTTTTTTATTATTTTTTGTTTTTAATTTTTCTGGAATATTTTTTGTTTCAACAAATTGTTTTTCTTGGTTAAAACTTTGGAGTTAACCTTTGGAAGTTAGCTCTTCTTTTTATGAGAATTAGCAAATACAGTATTTCCTTTAGTAATACTCCCGTGAGTACTATTTTTTAATCCTCCTCCAAGGAGGAGAGGATTATTAAAGGGGGAACAAATTTGAACCACATCTTGGGAACAAATCTACAACTACCTACGTTTATTTTTTACAAAAGGTGAAGTGAAGTTTATATCGAGTGAAGTTTATACTAAAATATGGGTAAATTTGAACCAATTTATAAAAGGAAAACAATTCGAAACAACATTTATTACAAACAAATACAATACAAACGACAAAATACATACGATAGAAATACGATACATACGATAGATACATACGATAGAAAGAATATATGGGTATAGGGAATGGGAACAAAGGAGCAATCTATAGACTATTTCATCTTTATATCTCGAGCTTCACCCTCAGAACTTCCGGGCACAGGATATCCCTAACGTCGAGCTTTTTTCTTATCCTCACTGCTGGCTCCTGGAAGCAATTCCTTCCCGACATTGTCTGGCTTCTCATATTCAATTTCAGTTTCGACCACAGCGAAAGTATTGATATACTTTTTCTGAAATATATAAATTATATGTTGACATACAAAAAGTATTATTATTTTTCACCTTCTTCCACTCCTCGAACTCCCCAACATTTTCATATCCCTTTTCAGTCAGTTCCGGATAGTATTCGCCATCGTAGAGCTCTTTGTCCTTAAGCCGCACAATCTGGTCTACAATGAATTGCATCTTGCTTTTGTCGTCTTTTTCTTTCTCCGCTTTCCTCCACATTGCGGCGCCCAATTGTTCAATCGGATGACGATCCAGAAATTTCTTAGTATGGTCCAGTTTTTGCTGAAAAAGTGGGAAAATAAGTTTATATATTTTTTAAATCTTAAACTTACATCATCCTTCCATATTTCAAACGGCTTCATGTTCTCACTGCCTTTGAGTTTTGCCTCAGCTTGGTAATCAGCATACCATTCTCTGTCTTTTGCACGTTTGGCTGCACGCGCCGCCCTTTTCTCAGAATTCACCTCCACCCAGTTCCATGTGAACCATCCCAGAATTCCAATGATGATTACACCCACGACACTCAAAATCACATAAAGCACGTTTGGCCATCCACAGGATTTTTGCGGGCATTTGCCTTCCGCTGGACACTTAACCGCTGGTGATGAGATGTTTTTGAGCACAGTTGTTGTAGTCATTAGAGCTGTCGATGTTGGACAAGGAGCACATGTTGAAGTCTCAGGAGTTGTTTCTGTTGAAGTGACTTTTGTGGTGGTAGTAGTTATTGTCGCTGGCTGAGGGTTAACATAAAGCAGCTCGTAGTCTTGTCTGTTCTAAATTGAATAAAATTGGCTGTAGTTTCTCAAAAAGTTTGTACAAAACTTACAAATTGAACGAAGAGCTCACAGTAAGGCACGGACGGTTTTCCAGACGTAATCCCTTCCTCATTGAATATACGAGTTGCATTCCGTGAAAGCAGGCTGAAAACGAGAAGATGTTGTCTCTGGAACTCCGGGTTCGTGATGGTCCATGTTTTAGGATTGACGCTTTGACTTGACTCTGGACCACAAACAGTCCCCTTCGGATCAAATTCTTGTTTTCCTGGGAAGTGCATCGTGAACTTGTCCGCCGCTGTTATCTCCAAATCGAAGGTCATTTCACTATCTTCGAGATCATTTGTTCGACTCAGGCCACGCTTCTTTTCGGCAACTGCAATAAACATCAAAATTAAATATAAACCTCGATTAGTTATATACCTAGATAGGTGTGAGCATAAACAAATTTCGATGTAGATCGGCTCCATGAAACCGTCCATGGCATGCATGCTGCGCAGTTTTTTCTACACGTCCCAGAATCCTTGTTTGGCCCTTTGTTGAGCATCTCAATGACTTTGTTGTTCACACCGTAGACGAAGGACATACTGTAAATTTAAAAATTACAACAAATGGAATCAGGGAAAGAATTGAAACAAAAATTAAGAAATTTACCTATTATTATAGCTATTCCTCTCATGATCAGCTACAACAAGGCATTTTTTGATCCCTCCTCGCTTGTTCCTCACTACAGCTGTTAACTTGATCTTGTCCTTGTTTTTGCTGAGCAAATCTACAATGCATCCCTTGCCGTCCTCGTTGTACTGAAGCTCGCTGAAAAATAAAAGAAATTTTATTACAAATAAGAGGCAAAGCAAACTCACATGTAGCCTTTCTCGATCTTAACATCACAGGCGTCCTCAAACCGATATCTGTATTCCTTCAAGTTGAAGTTCTTCTCTGTGACTTTGACAGCGTACGGGTTGAGCTCCACTTGGTTGCCAGTCCTTTTGTGATTGCCGAGTCCGACGATTTCCTCCTTCATCTGTCCAGGCACTTCACACACAAGGAATGTTGCGATGACAAGCAGCATCAGCACCAAGGAGCACAGCGTTGACGACTTCCTTGTCCCAGGGCCGGTGTCAAGTCCCGATGGAAGATGGCAGCGGACGAACATGGAGTGTTGTTGTTTTGGAAGTAGACAATATTGATGTTTGTAGAGTTGTGTTGAATGTTTGGTTGAGTATGGGGGATTTTAACTCCTTTTATAGTCTAACTTCTAACTAGAGACTGGGAGTGTCGTACGAGAATAAAGATTTCAAAAAATTCTCGATCTCGTTAACTGAGATTTTTGATCGAGATCTCGTCTCGGTCCGGTCTCCTACTTCTAACCATGCATTCGTTTTATTGTGTATAATTTTATCTTATTTGCATTCATTTATATATTTTTTTTCTGTGGAGTCCATTGTTTTTTAACTATACATATACTACTAATTTTCTTTAAATGAACATAAAGCTTTAGGATTAACAATTTTTGTTGGATCTATAGGTAATATATATTTTGGCGTTGCAGCAAATATCCAAAGGGGGAGAGCACAACAAATGAAGGCATAAAGGAAAAGGCAGGCCCTATCTAAAGACATTGCCATAAAACGCCAGTCAGCCTTTGCTTCCTCCTCCTCTTCTTCTTCATCCATTTTTTGTTGAGATAAATGTAAATAATCTGAAAGTTCACGAAGTGTTGAACGTAATAATTCTGTAGTTCCATATTCGGATATTAAAAAAGAATCGAGTCGGTCTTTAAATTTTTTCTGAATTTTTCTAAAATCCATTCAAAGTCCAACCTTCAAGAATTCTCTTTCCTTTATCTTTGCTTCCTGAATTTGCTGTTAATAAAGGAGTTGAGGGTTTTTCCATCATTAATGTCGATTCCTGTGTATATTGTTGTCGATGTAAACCAACACCTACTGAGCCTCGACTTGTACTTGAATCGCTAGTTTGCAATGTTTTCTATAACAAAAATTTTCTAAAATAATTTTTGAGGACTAATTAAATATACAGGGAAAACACGTTGTTTCAAATGTTCTCCTCTTTGTTGTAATTCAATAATTTGTTGATGTTCAGAAGTCCAAGTACCAGGTCTTTGTCGAGGTGTGCGACGTTTACGTTTTGGTTTTCGAAATTGTTTCCCCTGATATTTTTTTGAAAATATTTTTATTTCAAAAGAAAATAACCGGTCTATTCATAAGTAAAAGCCAAGGTAACCATTCTAAGAAAATTGTGCGTACCCACGGCGTCATCTAAAGAAGTTCGGGAATGTTTTTTGAATTTTTAAATTACTTTATGTGTTCGAGGAGAACGAAAATGTACATTAATTATAAGTAAAGTAAAAATAATTGAAGAGCCAAGAATCACCATTGCAATAGAAAAAAAGGCGGCAATAATGGGAACAGAATCAGAAGTTGGAGGAGTTATATCTGCAACCTTTTTGAAAATATTTTTTTTATTATTTATTAAAGTACCATTCCAAGAAAAACTGTTACAGAAAGAAGATTTGTTGTTTCTAAATTTTAATGAATTTATTAATAGATACTATTAATACAGCAAACAAACGTAAAGTTATTTTTTCACCACATTCCGCCGGCATAGTGAAACCTTTAAAAATTTTAATTAGATTTTTCAAAAATTTTAGAAAACCCAAAACATTGGTTAGCAAAAAAAGAACACTGGGAACAATCCAATTCATTCCATAATAAATTATTTTGCGTTTAATGTGGATATACTTTAATTAGAAAATATAAAATATTTAAGAATAGAGCCGAATCTCGATGCCCTTGGGGGAAAATTGAGCCATGAAAGAGACATGATATTATCGAGATCCGACCATATGTGTTAGAATTTACAAAATGTAATTCAATAAAAGAATCCCCCTGATCGCCAAAAGGAGGAGTTGAAATATTTGCGGGCGTTGAAATTAAATCCCATTCTCCATTACTTACATAATAAATAGTATCTTTTAAAAGAATTTTTTAAAATGTTTTATTTGAATTAACCAATGCTATGTTTGTGTTTGTCCTCGTCATTCATACCCTCTCTGTCAATGCATAAATCTAAAGCATATCTTTGATGTGTCCAGGGTCCAAACTTTTTATTATTTGAAATTAAAATGTATATTTTTTACCTACTTTTAATAAACACATTTGTTCGTCGAATGGAAACCTGACAAATAAAAGATTACAATTTTTATGTTAGGAACTGACCATGTTATGTCTATCTCACATGATGATTTAAGAAGTGCTGGAGGGGAATATAAAATACTTAAAAATTTTGATAATAAAATTAACTAATTTTATTTAACCTTCCATCATTATTAACTACAAAATTAACATCAAATCGAGCATCAAAATTCTCATCAGCACTTTACAAAAAGAGAGAAATTAAGTAAAGTCCCGGTTCCTTAATTAAATAAACCTATTAAAGAGAAGAACATCCGGTCTCCAGAGAGTTCCAGTGGGAAATCGAATTTCTTAAAATTAAAAAAAGTAAAAGGAATAATTTTAAAATTAAAAACTTTTTATTCCCCCATATTCTCGAGGGTCCCAACGCATTTTATAATCAAACCACCGAAATTCCTCCCAAAGCACTACTGTTAAAACTTGATTCTTTTCATCCTAAATATATTAATTTTTAAATTAATATCAATATAATTTACTTACAACATCAACAATTTGTTGTAAATAAAGATGGAGGCTTACTTTAACCTAAAGAAAATATTCATATTTTTTTATTTTTCTAAATTAACCGCTTCTGTATGGTTCTGTACTGGCCTTTCAACTTTTAAAAAAATAAAACTTAAAAATTTTTTTAATTTACTTGGATCATAACGCTCTTTCAAATCCTGTAAAAGCCTATATTCATCATCGGAGCAATTAACAAATGTTAACATTAATATATTAATAATTACTAAGGCAAAACTCATTCTTATTAGGTCTAAAAATTTATAATTAAAAATAAAATAATTATTTTTACTGGCCAATCATTAGTTTAGTTGAATAAAGCAGCGCAAGGTGTGTTGCGTCTTCCTGCGCGCTCTTGCCTTTCTATCATTACAAAATATTTAATCAGCTTACATCTACAAAATTAAAAACAACAATGTTATTAGACAAGAGGAAACAAAAATAATAAAGCTTTATGGGTGGGGGGTTGAGGAGTTTTTAATTAACATCAATTTTTAAATAAATTTTATTTGTCTAAAAAATATTTCCCAAAACATGTTTCTAAATTACAAAAATTTTTTGAAGGTTATAGAAGCATTTTTAAACAAGCTAAAAATTAATCTTTAGATTTCCAGATATGTAACTAAGATTTCCCCCAATGATTCAGCTTTTTAGTTATCTATTCCATTCCAGTTTTCTTAAATACAACAGTAGGAATAACTCCCGACAAATTAGGATCATAAAAATATAATTTTAATTCTGATAACATTCTATGCAATTTTAATAATTATTACATCCGTTTTACTCAAGGGGGCTCATTATTTATGTCTCAACCTAAGTAATACTAATAGATAGAATATTGATATAAAATATTTATTTTTATCATGCTGATAAAAAAATAACGTTAATCAAGTGTAAATTTTTAAACTATTAATTACCTAATAATTGATAATCACGTCTGTTTTTTATTTAAAATGAAAATTTATTTAGGAAATACGGGGGGAAATTAATATATAATGAAATAGTTATTGTTATCCATTAAATTATTTATATAATTCTATATATAATTAAGAAATTAACGTCATAAAAATAATAAAAATAATTTGAGCAGATAGAGGTATTTAATGTTATTTTTTTAATAGAAAATATTTTTAAGGACAAAATCTAAAATTAATGGAAAATTGATGATTAGAAATTATATATGGATTTTGAATTTAAAAAATATGAAGAGAAATAGATATTTAAAAACGGAATTTCCCATTAATTTAGTCAAAAAATTTTTATTTTTGAATCTTTGTTCTTAGATCGGTCTTAAATCAATTTTGATGGGGTTATGACGAATTGCAGGAAGTGATATAATAAATTTTAGTCAATTCCGTTTTCAAATTTTACATAATATACTATTTAATAGTAAGTAAATACACACATTTATGCAACTGGGAGAAAATTAGGGAAACAAAATTTGGGTTGGGTTAGAATAAGAATTAAATAACCAATTTTAAAAATCAAAACAAAATTTTCTAAAAATTAAATCGGCAACTTCGTTTCAATTTAAAGATGTCCAAAGCATTTTAAATTTTTCTGGCGAACCTATTTTTATTTATAAAATTTATTTGTTTAAAAAATATTCTCACAATGTTGATTAATTGAGGGAAATTTTTGTCAGTAAAGTGCTCTGTTTGTGGACTTTGTACAATTGCTTCTAATGTTTCTTCATTTACTGCTATGGCATCTTTTTTTGTTGGCTGAAGAAAAAAGGAAGGAAATATAGGGTTATTTATTTGATTTTGGAAGAGAATCTCTAGGTTATCACAATTAGGGTTGGGGGCCCGGTCCGAAAGTTCGAGTCGGGCATCGAATTTTGGCTCGAAAAAGACTCGGACCGGCCCGATAAAAATGAAGCCCAAAAAAATGACTCGAAGGTCAGGCCGACTCGAAAACCCCAACCTTAATCACAATGTGATTGTGATTATTAGAGTTATCGAGGATAAAACCAAAATACTGAGAGATTAAGAAATCGAGACAAAAGGGGGAGGATAAACTAGAGATTCGAATATTTAAATAAACTCACAACAACAGAAACAGAGTAAATTTTGAAGCCTAGAGCTTCTGCCAATTTTGCTTCTTTACCTGGATCCTATATTTAATTGATATTTTTAGGAACAATTTTTTCAAACTTACAGGTCCTTTATTTTGCCATCCATCAGTGAAAATAATCATTATTTTATTTGCAAGCCCGGGTCTCCCCCCTTTGTGAACATCTGCCTGTTTTGCCCCTTCATGAATGCCTTGGCCTAAATTAAAATTTTTAATAAAAATAATTCTCAATTTAACACAACATACCAACAGAAGTAAGTCCCCCAATATACTGAACATCATGTATTGCCTTTATTACCTAAAAATTTTCTTATTTTAGCAAATTTTTCAAAATCTACCTGATCTCCAGTTTTGTATTGTTTCAAGTCAAAGTGAGTATGTGTTTTACCAGGACTACTAAAAGTTATAAGAGCAACACGTGTATGTCTGGGAGAAACATAAAGTTGAGAGACTAATTGTTCTCCAAGACGTATATAGTCTTTGTAGACAGGCTCTGTAGTTGTAGAAAAGTCAAAAACCTTTGAAAGGAAAAAATTTTCTTGTCAAAATTTGAAGAAATAAACTTACAAGAACTAAATCTTGTTCGCACCCCGTAAATGGATTTGTTGTTGTAGTAGTCGTTGTTGTGGTAGTTGTTGTCGTTGTGGAAGTTGTAGTTGTTGTTTTACACTTTTCCTGTGCTTCTCGAAGTAATTTCCTCGTAACAGCCTCAGCCTGTGTTCTTCCACTTTGCATAATAACATGGTATTTTTGTCCGGCAATATCAAGTAATTCTTGTCTAAAATTAATATTTTTTTAGTTTTTTTGGATATTTTAATATTTATTTAAGGGGTTTCTTGTATAAAAATAATGCAAAAAAATTTTTTTAATAAATCAATTCTTTTTTATTTTCAATTGGTTAACAAAAAATTTGCGCAGCAATGATTGTTTAATGCGCAATAGAATTTTTAAGTTTTTTTTGTTCTATTGTCTAATATTTTAAAAGTTTCCTATCAGTTTCATACAAATATACTAAATGTTCTTCAATTAAAATAAGAATAACTTCAAAACATTAACAAACTACAACAAAACCTCTCAAAACATTAGCAACAAACAAGGCCTTAGAAAATGTCCTACGTTTAGGTAGTTAAAAATATTAAAACTTGCTAAACATTCTTATTAAAAACTCTCTGACAACCTTACCAACTTTTTGACTACAAACAGAACATTAACAACCCAAAACTTAAGACCCCGATTCGTTTATAGCTATTGTTGTGAGTAACGCTACTAACTCGTTTATTTATTTCCCCAATTTTATTTTTATCGGCAAATGATTAATTGACATTTCCAACGAGGAACATTTAGCGGGTTCCCTTTTTTGATTTTTTACTTTTTTTATTACACAAAGATATTATTTTCGTTGAATTTTTTAATTTTAATTTTAATTCTTAAATTATCCTTTTTACTATTTTAAAAGTTTTATTTTTCTTTAAATTGACTAAAAAATTAATTAACTTTTAATTCATGGGCGGTAATAATTTTTAAAAAATTTTTGAGAACCTGAAATTAGGAGAAAGGGGTGATTAAAAATAATTAACTAGGGAAAGGAAATCTTTTTAGTAGCGACTATGACAAGCCAAATAATACAAGGACTTTCCACTGGTCGATACCAATGAAAACTACCGTATTTCCTGAAATAGTACGGCCTCCTCTATTACTACGGCCCTTTCGATGAGGGTTGAAAAATAGTACGGCCGGCCGTACTATTTCAGGAAATACGGTAATTGTAATTATATTAACCCTCATCAGGGGTGGCCGCAATTTTGGCCTTGTGTTCCGTTTTTGGAAATTGTCTCTTGCACCCGCCCCTGATCCTCATTGAATAATTGAAATAATTATCTCAATACAAAAACTCACTTATTTGCCAAATGGGGATCACCAGTAGCTGCAGCAAATACCCAAGTATTTGGAATTCGTTGCAATTGCTGTGATGGCTCTTTTGGATCAACTGCACTTCTTCCGTCTGTTACAACCATAACTAATGTTGGAATTGTTTTATTTCTTGTTTCCATCAATTTAACAGCAAGTTTCATTGCTTCATATGTATTTGTTGTTCCTCCAATTGGTCTGATATCTTTTACTATTTTTTTAAATTCCTAAAAAATTATTATTAAATATTTTTGAGAAAAAAATATTTTTATTTACTTCATTATTCTTTGCAAAATTCCATGGGTAAATTTCTCTCCTGTAATGGTTGCCTGAGTAAGTAATCATAGAAACCTGAAACATAATAATAGGTAATAAAATTTAGAAAAATATAAAAATATTTGGAAAATAAAAAATTATTAAAGTCAAAAAAAGAAAAATAGAAGGATAAAAAAATAAAAAGAAACGCTAAAAAATTGAATATTCGAAAATAATAATCCGTAATTCAGAATTTTCCTTTAAAAATAATTTTTTTAAATAAATTTTATTTAACGCACACTGTGTGCATGTGGTCCAATATTTAGTTCTTCAGATGCTGCCAATACGAAGTCCCTACTTCGATTGAATCCACCAAGAACAGAGTCTGATCGATCCAAAATAATCATTACATTTAGATAACAGCTAACAGGGAAGATTGTATCTCCTCTTGGCAATTGCTGGGCATTTACTGTTGTTTTTGTACCAAATATGAGAAAAGATAGGAAAATGGCGAGGAGAAGGGGAGGTGTCTAAAAAGAATTTTATCTCAATGAAATTAAGTATTTGTTAAGATTAAAAGGATCAAATATTGTTAATTATTAGGGACTGTCGGAATTAAGTCCACCAAGAATAGAGTCTGATCGATCCATATGTAGTTTGGGAAAAATCAGTATTTCAATAATGGTAGGCTAGAACATATTGGAACTTGGGGCAAAATAAAAGAGAATTCAGATACCATAAATCCTAGACCCATGGATTTTAAAGTGAGATCTAGGTCAGTATCAAGATAACGATCATTGGATGACCATTAGATTGAAGACATGATCATAATTTGGGGCTTATTTAAATCTCTTTTACATAATTAAATTTATAAATTAAATTAGTAATAATAATTTAAAAATAAAATTAAAAATTAAAAACGAACAGATTTCATGCTGTGCTTGTATAAAATCATCGATACACATCGGATCATTGTTGTCATAAAAGCGGAACAATTAAGTGGTTAACCGCAAAATGTTTTACCCACTTTTTTCTTCCTCACAAAAAAAATAATTTTTTAATAGGGAAATAATGAAGACTATAATATTAAACTAATAAAAAGTGAAATATATGCTTATAATTGTAATATTTTAAGAAAAAGTAATGGCAAAAATAAAAAGAAACCATAAAATAAAATTTAGGTCGGAACGGGGGGAATTGGCCCTTATATGAAAAGAGAGAGACAGAAAATGAGAAGAAGAAGATGATGATGATACTCTTTTTGTTGATTGGCGCCAGTCAATCGGGTCGAATAATCGAGACCAAATAAAATGATCACCACAGCTGTTGTTGTGTGAAAAAGAGCCTCAAGCAATTGAGGAAAAAAGAGAACCGTTTGTTTAAAAGGAACCGCTAATCAAAAAAGGAAAGGAAAAGATAGGTAGGTTGCGCAAAAAAAGTGCAGTCAGTGATGGCCAGGTAAAAGTGTAAAAATAGGGAAACGTTTTGACTAAATATTATTCTCGTTTCCAGCTGATACGAAGATATAAAAGTGAAATTTTATTTATTTTAATAAATAATGTTGCTGTAGAAAATTATGGTCCCAAAAAATAAATAGACATTTTACGTAAATAAAAATAAAAATAATTATTTTGGATACGGAAAAGTTGAAAAATGTGTAAAAAGGTCTCAAAAAATTATGAAGGGTAGGTAAAAAATACATAATAAATTTTGGAAGAAAACGTGAGAGAATATAATTAATAATTAAAGAGAAAAATATTTTTTAAAACTAAAAATGTCTGTCTTTTAACAAAAGGAAAGGAACGGTGATTTTGATTGTTTTTGTGTTTTATAAAAATATAAAGGAAATCAAAAAGAAAAATCAGCGTTTGGAAGCGAGGACGAAAGACAAGGTGGTCGACCTCAATTATTTATTTTTATTGTTTTTTATTTTCTCCTTAATATATTTTCCTTAAAGCCATTAAAAATGCGCATAAACATTTTTAAAAGACCTGTTGTTGTTGTAATTATTTAAATCTTATTTTGTTTTATTTCTTCATTTTATTTACTTATTTAATTGATATTTTTACTTAATATTAAAATTAAATTACACACCTACAAGTTTATTAATTATTACAAACTTGAAAATGAACAAAACGATAGGTTACAAACATTTATTAAAACATGCTTAATAATAACAAACTTAATAAAACTTAAGCTTTAAAATGTGAGTAAAAATAAACTTATTAATTACAAGTTTACAATTTCCAAGTTTTAAAAACTTTAAATATTACAAACATGAAAATACATTATAAATTAAACTTATTCAAGTTTAAACTTATTATTCGAACTTATTATTTGAACTTATTATCAAAACTTATTCAAGTTTGTAATAATTAACTTTAATTAAAAATTAAAATAAATATTCAAGTTTTCAAGTTTGTAAACTCAAGTTTTAATTATATAACAAACTCGAAAAATAAACTTGTCGAGTTTGACAAGTTTAGTGTAATTATGAGGAAATAATATGTCAAACTTTTCAAGTTTTCTGTCCTTTTATTTGACTATTTTAAGTTCAGATAATTAAAGGGCGGAATATTTTTTAAAACAGATCAATTTTCACATTAAAAAGTTTAAAAAATTTAAATTATTTGGCGAACACATGATTTAATTGGAATTTATTTTATTTTTTTTTAATATTAAATTTTGTCATTTAAATTATTAAATTTAAATTAAAAACGCCTTTTTCTTCCTTTTTAATTTTAAAATTCTTTGAAATTTAAATTTGAGGGAATTATTGTAATAATGTGGATATTCTCGCCCTTTTTGGGAATTTAAAAAAATAAAAGAATTTAACCTTGAATATTTTTGGATGACCATGAAAACACCTACTTATTTTTTTCCAGAAGATTTTTATATATTTTATCAGTCAATAAAATCTTTTGTTTTATTTTTTTAGTACCTAATATTGATTCTTAAATTAATTTTATTAATTGATTTTGATTTGTGAATTTTTATAAAAAAATTTTTTTCGTAAAACACGAATAAAATTCTATATTTATCTTTATCATTTTATTAATGGACTATTTAAATTGAAGGAAAAATAAAATGTTTTATATTATCACAGTCTAGATCAAAAAATTATTTAAAAAATATTTTGTCAAAACTTTCTTTACGTCATATTTTTAAAAACGTCCACAAAATAGGAAGGGAAAAACATAAATATTATAGTAACTCGATTCTAAAAAGATTTCTAAAATCTGTTAAATTTTAAAGACATCAGGCAGAGTATGACGTATTTTCTTTAAAATCGGTTATGTTGTTTTGATTTCTTCCCCAATTCAAAATAAAGCCAAAGCATTGTTTAATAATTTGCCCATTCCAGTAGATAATTCTCTGTTTAACTTCCACGCAAGCTCCCCATCCTTTGCAAGTTGATGTAATTGAGAGAAATCGCTTAGATCAACAGCCCAGAGAAACACTTAAAAATATTAGGTAAGTTAAAAATTAAGGAGTGGGGGGGGGGTATTGGAATGACTTAATAATATTTATTAAATTTAGATTATTTATTTTCCAAATATTATAAAAAATTCTTATCTCAGTCCATGCATTATCTGTATCCTGAGGCCATTCTGGCCATAACTTCTCTAACATTACTCCTCCAGATAAAAGATTTTCTCCACTAATGACAGCTATAGGTCCATCTCTTTGGCCTGGCAAGAGATTAGTTTTACAACTAATTGTGTGTATATCTGGATCGGGAAGTCCAAGTTGTAAAAGTAGCTGGGCAAGGAATTCGTCAACTATTTGAGGACCAGGAGAAAGTGCCCATCGTGATGGAAGTCGACCAGAAGGCATTTGAACGAGTACCTTAGAAAAAATAATTTATAATAACACAAAATATTCTTAGACGCTTTGGCCTATGTCACCATTTCGAAAGTATAATAAAAAGAATAAAACTTTACATTAATTAAGTTAATGTCATTTGAATTGGCACTAAAACTTGAATTATTGCTTGAATTGTCATTAGAATCGTTAATATCACAACGTTGAAAAAGTGCGTATAGAAACAACCGATTAGGTCCAAAACGTGGGAAATTGCCACGACCAGCAAGTCCACAACGTCCTGATGGATTTAGAGGTAATCCATTTCCATTTAACATAATTCCATCATTTAATATATTTTCAGATTTTCCTTGATCAATTAGAGATAAAAATTGGAAAAGTCTTTTTTGCCTCCATTGACAGCCAATATCTAAAAGATTTTGAACTGAAGCATCTTGAGCATGTTTTTGTAAGTCTATAGGAAGTTGGTCAATTGGCAGAGAAAAACTGTTTGGACGGTAATGAGGTAAAAGTCGAAGCCAATTACGGAGGGATGGATTGACCTAAAAATAAAAATTGAATCTCTAAGAGAGCTGGATAAACAAAGGTTCAATATTAATTGAACTTTTTTTGTACTGAACTTTTTTAAAAATTTACTTTTAGTCTTGATGTATCTTTAATATATTCCCATCTTGATTCCTTTTCTGTTTCCAATCGTTGCGTAAAAACACTAAAATCGAGTAGAAGACTTGTTTTGTCTATTTCTGTTTTTTGTTTAATTTCTTCCCTTTTATTTTCTTTATTTAATTCATTCCATAAATTTATAGCTAAATCACGCCAAAATCCACCACTTGAACGATAACGAAAACTTTGCACCTTAAATACGAAAATCTATTTTTTAATATTTCAATAAACCGAAGGATTCTTGTAAACAGTACAATATTTCCTTTTTCCAAAATTTTGTGAAGTATTCAGATCATTATTATTATTTTTTAATCCATTTTGTGAATAACATGAAAAATTACCAGAAGCACCAAATTTGCAACAAGCTAGAATAGCAAGGAAAATAGGAGTTAATGGAGGTGGCAAACATGGACGTAAACTTAATGAACAAAGAATTATATTTCAAAATTTATTTTTATTAGAAACGATATCCTCCTAAGTAATGTTTAGATCTGAAAGAATTCCAGCTGAATTTATGATTTTTCCTTTTCAAAAAATTTTGGAATAAAATAAATAATATTTAATAATTCTTTTTTACCTAAAACAAATTATTAAAGAATATCTCTGATTTATCCAAATATCTTCAACTTCTTTTTTGTCTAATTTAAATAAAGCACTGATCAAAATTGCTAAAAGTAAAGGCCAACAAAACAAATTTAAAATGACAAAAAATTCAATTAAATAAAATTTGGCAAGCCAATGTTGGGATGGGCAGCGTGGATTGGCATATCCACCTAAGGCTTGGCAATAAGGTCTATTTTCGGGAAGCAATTGGCGTTGGCATTCATTCGATTGATGAAAAATATCTTTAATAATAAAAATTTTTCGAGATTTGGAGTGATTGTAAGGGGTCTTTTAGGTTTACTTTATCTTAAATATATAAGTATCAACATTTAAAAAAGTAGATAATCGAGGATCAACAAGAAATTAAATTGTTGATTTAAATTTAAAAAAAATTCCATAAGCTATAGTCCATTCGAACCTCTATGGTTTTGAAGAAATCGTATCTTATAATGAGCGGTACCTTAAATTAGAGAAACCACAAGCCAGCTCAACTTTAAAAATTATCAGCTTAGGAGTATAAAAAAATAAGATTCGGCTATAGGGAGTATAGAACTCTCATATCTACGTATTTAGTTAGTTAAGAATTTTAGGTAATATAAAATATAAAACTAAAATATTTTGCTGTAACTATAGTTAAAATTTTAACACTTCCATCAAATAAACCTACTCAAATCTGTCATAAAAAATTGTTTAAAAGTCCAAACAAAAGTTTCTCCCATAATAACAGGTTGCGCACTTAGATCAGGAAATAAAACAGATTTTAAAACAATTGTAGAAATAATTATAAATAACAAACAAAACATCAAAAACGGCAACAAAATTTTCCAAAACATTAAATTAATTTTAATAAATAATTGCCCAATTAATTTAAATAAAGGTAAATAAATATATAAACTTCTAATAAATTCAAATAACATAAATAATGACCAAAATATTTTTAATTCATAAGTTAGTGAAGAAAAAGAAGAATTATTCTTTCTTCCAATTGATGAGGTAATTAATAAACGAATAATTAAAAGTATTAAAAGAAATGTTGAAGTTATAATTATATCAATTAATATATTTAATCTTTTGCCAGTCCAATTTATTTGTTGAGACCAACAAACATAAACCTAAAAAATTAGAGAGCTGTCCAAGACTAAAAAACCCAAAAGAAGTCAAACTAGAAATCTTGAGCAGCTCTACTAGATATCAGAAATGGGTCGGGTTACCCAAAACACGAGCCTTTTCTTTCCTTTAAAATGAGTAGTCTCTTATGAATATTTCCTTAAAATATTACTCTTAAATACAAGAGTCAATCTCAAATAATTAAAGATAACGATATGAAGTAATTAATAATTAGCCCCCTAATTAGCCTCCTCCCATCATTGCCCTTACACTGCCCTTAAAAATAATTTTTGATTGGCGGCGAATTTAAAGCTTTAATTTTTAAATTTTTGCATGAATTTATCCGGCATAGTGTGCAACATCTGATATCAATCTATTTATTTTTTCAACCCTTCAGATCTTCTGTTAATATCAAGGATAAATCAAAGCACTTAGTTATTACCTTACCTAGGTTATTGAAACAAATGAATTTTAGTTTCTAATTAATAAATTATTTACCCAAATAGAGTCAATAACCCAACATAGAGCCCATAGCCAAATAAATTGTTCAATCCATCCAGATAAAAAACATCCCGGTTGAGCAACAGCCCAACACAGAAAAACCAAATAAAATAAACGAAACACTAAAGACAACCAATATTTAACTATTGGTGTTGAATAAAATAAAGATAAAGTTTTTGGAGTATTAATAATTGAAGGTAAAAATAAGGAAGAAATTTGTGGAGAAAGTAATCGAAAATTGGAAGTAGTCCCATCAATTCCTCCAGCACCCCCAGCAGAATTAGAACCAAGTAATAAACGACTTGAACGACTTTGTCTGAAAATATTTGTGTGTTTTGGGTTAAAATTGATATTGGAGCCAAATTAAGAGTCATCCCAAGACAAAATTTTAATTTCACCTTCTACTTCGTTCAGAAAGGCTTCCACTTCCACCACCATCACAAAACATGAGAGAACGTCTATCTGGACTAGGCCGTCGACTTCCTAAACCATCACCAGGCTTTTGACGTTGTCCTGTAGAAGGTAGTTCATTTCGAGGCTTTCTAATCTCTATTGAACGAAGTTGTGATGCTGAAGGCAAAAATGAGTCAGTTACTGTACTGTTGTCATTTGTGCTTATCTGACAAGTTTTAAAATTAACGGTAGAGGGGAAATAATTTTTTACTTTAAGAGATCAAGTCTAAAACTATAAAAGCCCAGAAATATATCCCGAATAATCAAATCAAAGCCCCTAATCAATCGCTGCCAAAGAGAAGTGTTTCCGGTCGACAACTAAAAAGAAGCGGAAGCTATCAACAATGGATCTGATTGCCTATTTGATCTTTGCTATTCTCTGTTCCGTTGCTGGATATGTAAGTTTTAGATTTTTTCCTTTAAATTTTTCCAAAAAAAAATCTGTTAATTATTTTCAGTTCGCGGGCAGCTACATGCGCAAATTGCAAAAGAAGAGTGCGGCGAAGAAGTCCAAGACAAAGGCGGGCAAATCGCAATCGGCAGAGACGGCACACAGTGGAAAGAAGAGAAGATAGAGAAGGGAAGGATGGGGAACTAATAAATAAATATGGCAATTCAAAGAATGGATATTAGGGAAATAATTTCTGGATTCTTTTGTGCCTTGTAAATATATTTGTGCCTGTAATATTTGTAAATATATAATTTTGTTGTTATTTTCCCTATGTTTATTGTAAATCTTGTATTGTGTTAAATAAATAAATGCTCTGCTAGAGAATGAAATCTTTTTGTTTAAAGATTAAGGGTAATTCAAATTTTACTGTCTGAACATGTAAAGGCTAAGAAAAAGGACACTCCATTCTATAAACCAAAATCCAGGACTAGATCTTCGATCTTCTTCCCTTCCACTGATAGTTCCACCTAACTATAATTGTTAGTGATTAGTGCGATTTATTAGCTAAGTTTTGATTGGGAATTTTAATCTTATACAATTTCTTGAAAAATTTAAAAACGTGTCGGAAATAAATCTTAAAAATAAATAATTTAATCAAAGATCTCTTCTTTTACCTGATTTATTTGATCATTCTCATCAATTCCTTCATTCCCAATATTTACAGTATCAACAGGAATTAAAACTCCAGGACTAGATCTTCGATCTTCTCCTTCCCTTCCACTAATAACTCCACCAAATTGAGCACTTCTAATTGAGTGAATACTGTTGGCAGAAGAGGAACGAACATTTCTTGGATGACGGCCATCTTCTAATAAAGCAACTGTTGGACTTATTAGAAGTTTATTGGCCGATGATGATTTTTGTGAAGTATTTTCCTTTAAAGATTTTTAAATTCTAAAAAATTTCCAAATACTTGATTAGTTGGCCGAATCCAAAAAATTGACGGAAAAACAAATAAAGAACTTAATAAAATTTTAATCCAATCAGGAAGTATATAACGATTGGAAATTGTTTGTATTTGTATTTGGCCATAAAGAAATTGTTGAATCCAATGTTGGCAACATTCGTGTGAAATAAAAGCTTTGGCATTTGTCTAAGAAAATATTAAAAAAATTAAATTAAAGATTTAAAAACGGGTAAGCCGTTTAAAAAATACTAAAAAAATAGAAAAATAAAATTTTAGCAGCCATAAGATACTCCCAAATTTGGAGAATAAGAATATCTTGTTAAAAAATTATTTCCAAAAAATAAATATTTTAAGGAATATGTATTAATCTTAATAGATTATTAATCTCATAATAAGATTAAAGCATAAGAAATTTTTAAAAACTGGTTGAAAATTACATGTCTTAAAAAACGATGTTAGAGAGCACAGAGTAAGTTACTCTACTCATGCCAATAACTTTGACTTTTAGAATATCTAACTTGGGTCCATTAGAGTCTCGAACTCTAAGATTCTATAAGGGAATAACTTTAAGTATTTCCTAAACTCACTTCAAAAGCCAATTGTATCAACGTCAATCTTCTGTAAACTGAAGGTAAAGGTCTGCATAAAGCATTATAAGCCTTATTTTGATTTTTAGAATAAGCACAATCAATTAATTTAACAGCAAAATTAATTAATTTAAAAGAAAGTTTTTTCAATTTATTTTTATATAAAATCCATTGATTACATTTTTTAGCCAATTCTTTTGAAATTTTTGATAAAATTAAGGAAAGGGCTATTGGCTCGTTAGAAAAAGAACAAAAAATTAAAACATCTTCTGTTTGAAGTAAAAATAAAGACCAAAAAGTAAATATTCTAAAAGGTATTTCTGTATCTTTTAATAATTGTTGTTGTTGGAATTTTGTTGTTGATAAATTATTTTGTTGAGAAATTTTAAATAATTCTGATGGAAAAATATTATTACAAAGACCACCAGATAATTCTGTCTAAATTTATTTATCATTCCAAAATTAGAAATTTTTATTTAAAAAATCACCAATAGATTATTAAATTTAGAAGCAATATTCTCATCAATATGCGTCAGTTGTTGCAAATTTTGTAAACCAAGTAATTGTCCAAGAACGATAGTATTGAAGAAATGCTTAATTATTGGAAAATAATAAAAATTTTATATGTATTATATCTTCGGTTATATTTCAGGTTATCTCCTGTTATAAGCAGTGGTTGGAATTTTGAAATTTGCTCGTACTTTCGTAAACAGGTACGAGTACGAATAGGAATTTTGGTCTAACCACGAGTTATTAGGTCATTCTTAGTGGGCATTCCAGCTGTGATTTTTTAAATTGAACAAAATTTTTCACCTTATCTTCTGCTTCACCTGCCCATTTAATTAAAAATTCAGAATTAACAGGTAAAGGAATATTTTGTTTTAATAAAGAAGACAAAACATTTACTCTTTCTTTCTCAGGTAAATTTAAAACAACAAAAAGAAAAGAAGAAAATTGTTTTTCGGTAAAATGTCCTTCCAAACAAATAAAATTTAAAGGTCGGGAAACTCCCAATTTACACGATAATTCTAAAGGGCTAGCCCATTCATTTACATCTGGTGCACTTCTTATCAGTAAATCTAGGGCCTAAAATAGATTTAAAATTAAAAAAAATTGTATTTTTTAAAGTACTTCCTCTCCAATTCTATCTAAATTGTTGGCAGGCAGAAAAGCAAGCAATGAATGTTCTGATGTAGATATGGTTAATAAAAGTTGTAATACATATTTTTTAGCTTCTACAAAAAAAAGGAAAATTTTTGAAAATATTTAGAAATTTGGGGGGTCGATTAATCAAAATTAAAACCATAAAATGGCACTTAAATCAATATTAAAAATTTAAAATTTTTTATTAATCACCAATCCAAATTATAAAATAAAAATTAGGAAAACCTATAATTTCACTTTCCACATAACGCCCAGCTGTAGCTAAAGCTACCATACGTAATTCTCTTTCCAACCAAAATTCAAAAGCATTGTGTTCAAAAACGGCACTTTGAAAGAGAGAAAAGGCTGATTTTAGAACAACACATAATTCGCTTATATCCTTAATAAATATCTTTTTATTAAAGATTTTTTTCAATTTCAGGTTATCTAGGATTTAAGGGGCTGTGTTATGATAAGAAATATGTAAATAAGGGGATAAGATAGAGAATTCTGATCAAAAAATTTACTTGAACAACAAGTGAAGGCACTCCACATTGTGCATAAATAACCAATTCCAATAGAGAAGATAAAGTAACTCCACAAAAAACAACCAAATTTAAAGGCTTTTTTTCATTTGAAAGTGAAGAAGAAAGTAAAATAGTAGCTGGAGAATTTTGGGTAGAAATTGGTGTTTGTGAATGTGAAAAAGAACCAGAAATTGATGTTTTTTCTTCTGGTACTCCAATTAATAGGGCTTTAAAAGTATGAAAATTTTTGAAATTTTTTCTTTTTAAATATTGCCTGGAGGAGGTATTGCAAGTTTAATAGCAGCACATGCACGAAATAGCATCATACTTCTCTCTGTGGGATTATTTTTGCCCCAAACAAGATATAAAGTATTTAGTCGAGCATCAACCATATGAGGAGGTTCTTTTCTTGTTATTAGTGGAAAGTTGGGATCTTTTGTTGAAATATTGTGCTAAAGAAGATGTAATATTATTTGGGTGAAAACTAACTAGGGTTATCTGTTCGAGGACCGAATCAAGAAAAAGAGGGGGTTTTCGGTTCCAGGCATCCTCCCCAGAATTATTTAAGCATAAAAAGAATGTCTTCCTTTAAATAATACATAAAAAATATTTACAATATCAGCAGAATTTATTCCAATCATTAAAGTCTCGTCAGGGTTATCTCTATGTAAAAGAGCTGAACGAAGTGCTTTAGAAGCAGCATAAGCTAACGGATCAGAATGTTCTCCACTTGTAATTACCCAAAGACTACAACGTCCAAAAAGCTTACCAAGACCGTTAATAAGTCTTTCAGAGTTCTGATAAATTTAAAATATTTTTAATACTTTTAAAATTGAAAAACTTCGAAACTAAAAGAATTTCCTGTCCCAACAAGTGAAAATATCAATTCTGGAACTCCGTGGTCTAGTGAATCGGCGGAAGCAGCAAGTCGGCTTTAAGAGAATTAGATAGGGATTTTTTAGAGATTTTTTATTTTAGAAAGGCACCTATAAATATGTTTAACAGCTTGGGGAATTTGTAATGGAGTTGGAATATAAATTGCTGGACAATGCTGAATAACACCTTCCAAAGAAGTATTACCTCCATTCCATTCACTATCAACAAAAATGCTAACTGTATTAGTGTGAAGAAATTCGGTAGAATTTGGTTGGTTTCCATGAGGTGGTAAAGATGTTGGGGGAATTGTGTAAAATTCCTCATCCATTTTTTAAATTTTTATAGCCTGAAAGCTAACATATAAACTTATCATAAACTTATTTTAATTGAATGGCCGCCATTCTATTTTTCAATACCCCCAAATAAGGGTCATTGGAGAGGCCATTCAATTAGAATAAATACGGTATATATAGTAAATGAGTAAAAAACGGTTTAAGGGTAAAATAAATATTTAGAAATAATTTCTTTATTTAATAATTAGGTAATAATGTAATACATCCATAAAGAAATATTTTTTGGGCGTAATAATTATTAACGGAATAAAAGTAAAAAGTGGGTTTGCTCTAATTGACTTAAATAAAACAAAATGAAGTGTTAAAGTTAATTCAATTAGAGATTTAATTGATCAAATTATCGCAGATACTGAAAATTGAAAACAATCGGAATTGTTCGCAAGAATAGTGAATGTAGAGAATCAATGATTTAAAAAAAAATTAAATTTAAACAAAAAAATGAACTAAATAAAAATATTTGCCCGTTTATAAATAATGTTACCTAGATTTGCGCCTGATAGACAAAAGCTTCCTTTCAAATTATCAAAATTTAAGTTACTGCCCAAATCACTCAAAATAATTTTTCTAGTGTTACTCAAATTTATTTTGCGCGTAAAATTATATTTTTAAAAATGTTTACTGTCCAAATCACTTACTGCCCATATTACTTTTCTAATTACTCACTGCCCATTTAACTCCTGCTCCATTCACCACTGCTGTTTTCACCAGACACGCTTTCTTATGCTAAAATTTTGAAATAATACCTTGTTTATTTTTTAATTTAAAAGTTTATTAACAATAAAGTAAAGGGAGAGATAAACTCCACGCAACAAAAAATCCAAAAATACAGTATTATTATTGGCTCTCTAACGGACACAATTATTAACGACATCTTTTCTTCTCTTACCACACACTATTTTTATTTAGCCTTATTCATTTTAGTTTGCCGTAGGGCAAGTTTTTTTATGATTTGTTAGTTTTTTTTAATTTTTAATAATTTAGATTTTTATTAGAAAATGAGCAATAGTAATTTACAAGATGGTCCTGACAGACTTTTATTTGAATATTTTATTGTGGCAGGATTAAATGACAAAGAAAATTGTGATGAATTTCCGGCTCATTCTTCCGATGGAAAATTGAATAGTGGAGAAGCAAAGGCTCCAATAACTGATATTTGTGTTGTTATTTCAAGTGCAGGAGAAACAGTTTGTTTTATTTTTAGAAAAAATAATTTTTGAATTTTCAACGAAAATTTAACTAATCAAAAATTTTCGTTTTATTTTTTTGGAATATTTTTCCATTTGACACTTTTATAAAATGACCAGTAACTCCGCATGTTTTATTTTATTTAATTGCTGAACCTTGATATTTTTCTGTTTTAAAATTTTCAGACACCTGTTGACTTTGAAAGAATAGAAACAACACCTTCTGGCTATTTGGCTAATTTAAATCACGGGTCTATACGTTCTACAGCTTGTTTTGTTTGTTTTAAACGCGGATATCATAAACCGCCACTTATTGACCTTGGAATTCTGGATGAAAGCAGAGGAGAGAAACCTTGCAGTGTTATTTTTTTTTTAATTTTACATTTTTTTTTATTAAATATCATTTTTGGAATATTTTTGTCAATATTGCCTACCCACTTCTTATCGAGGTTATTAGCTCCCCCTGCCCCCTTCCCTATCCTAAAAATCCTAGTTACGGGTGATTAGTTCCTTCCAAATTTTATAGCATGGAGAAACAGGGGATGTGGGTAACGAAGAAGTACAAAACAATTTTTTCCATTAGCTTTCCATTTCTGCTGAATTTTCTTTTTCCGCTCTTAAACGAAGCCTAATCAATCGTCCGTTATTTAATTTTATATTATAGGATGCAACTGTAATTGAAAAAACTCCTTATGGTCTTTCGGCAAATATTAGCAATAGCAATTCTCAAAGCCTTTATTTTACATTTAGACGTGCTAAACCAGATGCTCCTCCACATCAACTTGTCATTACAGATATTTGTGTTATTTTAGAAAACAAAAATGAGCAGCCTCCCCATACTTATTACAAAATCCCAAAAAATCTGAATAGAGTTTGGTTTTTTTTATTTTTTTTAAATTCAATCATTTTTTCAGAGTATGCTTGGTTCGGAAGTCTATATTTGTTTTAAAAAGTCCCAGATGATGTGCAAACGTTTAGCTTATAGAGCTAGTGTTTTGGATTGTTTTCCACCTCTCAAAAGTGATGAAGACTCAATTCTTGTTCAAAATGTTCCAAAATTTTTTCTTCCGATGGGGGCTTCAATTGTTAGTTATTTTTGTTGGATTTAGAAAAATATTTTTAAAAAATTTTAAAGGAAGCTTGGCCTGAAAGTTGTGTTGGTTCCGAAAAGAATTCTAGCTCACGGACATTTAGCACTTGTGTTTTTACTGATGAGGTATTAGGGAGATTTTTTCTTTTTTTTAAAATTTTCTCTTTATTTTAAGGCATATAATAAATATTATGGCGCCTCTGTAACATTTTTTGAACCATACACAAATACTTTAACCGACGAACAATTAGAAAAATTTGATCTAGGAGAGGACTTTATAAAATGTCCAAAATCTATAGAGTCGTCTACTCCATCAATTTCAAATTCTGTGGATAAAAAAGAAGTTGAGGAAGAGGGTGTTGCTACAAATCAAGAAAATTACCTCTTTTATTGTAATAAAGCAATTTGTATTGTTTCTCGTTATCCATTCTTCGAGCCATTCCGACGCTTTCTCTTCTTTCTTTTAAATTCTGTAACTGTTGGAAAATCAAAAATTCCTATTGAGCGTTATATTTCGCATTTGGTAGGTTTATTTTGATTATTTTTAATTGGGGTTTCTAGAAAGTGAAATTTTAAAATTCTTTTTAAATCATATACGGAAATTATTCTACAATAGGAAAACTTTTACTGGGTTAACCTTATTTGAAAATGCTATTTTTTGGATTGCCTTTTTAATTTTTATTAAGCATATCAGACAATTTTTTTCAGTTAGTTTTTCCTTAAATTGTTTTTTAAGATGTATGAAGTTCCGTTCCCTTCGCCATCTCGTCCACGAATTTTAATGGAACTTGGAAACGACATGATCGATTTAAAGAGCAGTGACGACAGCCAAATCCCTCTCACTGGTGCTGATTTTTTTGAAACTCTAAAGTGCCTTGGAACAGAAAATTTGCTTTATGCTATGCTTCTAACACTTTTAGAACAAAAAGTTATTTAAATTTGTTACATATTTTAATGTCTTTTTTTAAAGATTTTGGTTCATTCTTTACGTCCTTGGCTTTTAGCATCTGTGACGGAAACATTTTGTGCAATGATTTTTCCTTTTTCTTGGCATTTACCTTATATTCCGCAATGCCCTTTAGAAGTTGCTGATATTTTTCATGCTCCACTTTCTTTTATGGCAGGAGTTGATTCGAGGTTTTCTTTTAAAATTATTTTTTTAATAAAGCAAATATTATTTTTAGATATTTTGACTTAAAAGAAGACCCTCCTTCTGACGTTACTTGTTTCGATTTGGACACTGCCACAATAAGCAAATCAAGTGTTAGGAAATTCTACAAACTGGATATGTTGCCTAAAAAGCCTCTAAAAAGACTTCGTAATGTTTTGGATGAAATTTCTATCAAAACTACTATAGAAAATGCCTCTTCTAGAACTGAAAAGGACAACGAAAAGTTGTATTTACAAAAAATTCAGTCAGAAACAGCAATTCGGGAAGCGTTTCTAAAGTATTTTTAATTTTGTTTATTTTAATTGTTTTTATAAAAATATTTTCAGATTTGTTTGTTCTTTAATGGATGGCTATTTGGATTATCTTCGCCCACTTTTAAGCTCTCCAAAAAGTGAAGAAGAATTAGACATCAATCGCTTATTTGATTGGAATCTTTTTCTTCATTCTCGTGACAAACACTCTTCTTTATTTTATCAAAAATTTCGTGAGACAACTTGCTTCATTCGATTTATCGAGGAACGTTCTGGTGCTTTGTCTGAAAGGGGAGAAGTTGGAAGTGGTTCTGTTGATAGAAGCATTTATTATATATTTTTTGATGATTGTATTTCAAAAATTAATACAGGTTTTTTTAGATTTTTTAATCAAAATATTCTTATTGTTTATTACTTGGCTGTAGGGATTTGCGTTTTAAGATTTTTTTGGGTTTTAGTACTTTCTATGATTTTTTTAAATATTTTTTCTTATCTTACTAGAATTGCAAAATGCTGTGAGCAGTAAAGACAGAGCAGCAGCTAAAGAGCGTGTAAACAATTTACGTCTACTCGATGCTGATTCAATCCGTGCTAATCGAACTGTGGTTATTCAGGCACCACAAATGCTCAATCCAGAATTTAAAGATACAACTTTTACTTTCACTTCTTTTCCTCATCGTTTTTGCGAGAAGCTTTTTGAACGTGACTTTATACGAAATGCAGCTGCATCTCGTCCACCTCAACATTATCTTCACTCTAGTACAAAATTAGGTTTATTTTAATGGATTGAACATTAATTTTCTAATTTAATTAATTTAGGCAATAAAAATATTGTTTTGCGGACTCGTCAAGAAATTCGAAAATCGATGTCAGATACATCAATCCTTTATCATCAAAATATAATGTATTGGCCTCGTTCTGTCCTTTTCTTTGCTTATTCAATTTGGTTTATGCAACTTCCGTCAATGTTGGCTTTGGCTAGAAGTAAAAAGAAAATGTTGATTCTTGGATTAAGAGTTTGTTTTTTTTATTTTCTAGGAATAATTTAGTCTTGCGAGATTTTTACCTATAATTATATTAGGAATACTGGCACGTTTTGATGCCTTTTTTAATTTTAAATTTTACCAGAAACCTTTAATATTTTGCAGGTTATTTCTCGAATGGAACAGTTAATGTTGCCTATTCATGATCAAATATGTTATAGAGTTCTAATGCAACTTTGTGGTGATTATGATCATCCTGAATTGGCTGTTTATATTTTGCGAAAAATGCTTCGAATTGGGATTGTCCCAAATGCTGTTACATATAAAGTTTACCATCAGGCATTGATAAAAGTAAAATTTGGGGTGGTTCTCAAGAAATTAATTCTAGCAAATTTAGGGTAATTGGCCTTCTGAAAAGAGAATTTGTGCAATTAATTCTTGGAGAAAACTTCGTTTATGTTTAGAAGTTTGTATTAGATTTAAACAATTTCTGCCACAGTTTGATACATCTTCCGAATTTGTGGAACAGGAGGCATCACCAAAAAATACTTCTGATGAACTGGTGAATAATACAGAGGATCAAGAAAGTATTGTTAAAGAAACTGGTAAAGAGTCAATCATTTTTCATTTAATTAACACTAATTTAGGTATTATTAACGATGAGATTGAAGTAAATGATGATAAAAACCCCTCAATTATTCAAAATCATCAAGAAAACAATTCGAACAACGTCGATGGCTACTTTGACCCTTTAGGCGCAGAAATTTTAAATAAAAAACGGACAGAAACAAATACAGTCTCTAATCAAATCAAAAACACGCCTTTAATGGAAAAAGCTCAATCTCGTCTAAAGAAATCGCCAAATGGCAAAAATGCAATTATTAAAGTTAAAAATACTTCTTTTATTAGCCCAAGTCGAGAAAAATTTATGAAAGAACATTCTGCTTCCCCTTTTGCTTTAGAAGACGAAGGACAGTCATTTGCAGACAAAATGTCTCTAAATAGCGAGAAAAAGAAAAGAAGATCATTACGACTAGGTGGATCTTGGTTTAAAAATTTTGCTTCAAATTCACCAATTCTCAATACTTTAATGAATCGAAGTCACACAACTGGTGAAAAATAATTCTTTTAATTAAAATTTTTTCAACATTTTCTAGAAAATCTTGAAAAAATGAGCAAAGATGGCGGAAGCAGTATGAATTCAGATACTGCATCTGCTTCTACTTCTGCTTTAAGTGTAACTCCAAATTTGTTCACTCTGGCTAATAAAATGAGAAAGAAAGCATTGAGAAGTAATTTTTGTGGAAATTGATTGAAAATTTTGAAATTTTTATTTTTCAGCTTATAATGAAGTTTTGGGACCAGCGACTGAATTACTCGAACGTTCAGGGATTAATCCTGCTAGAATACTCAATGAGGCAAAGTTAAATCTCAGTAAATCTTATCAAAATCCTGATCAATCACTTCTTTCTACAATTTCCTCGTCAAATAATAATTTAATGGAAGCAGGCGGGGACTTTTTCTTTGTATGGAGATTATGTTTTGATTTAAAAAAAATTTTTATTTTTAAGCGTTGTACAAGAAATGCCAAGGATCTTATCTCAATTAGTTATTGGATGCAAGAAGTTATTCCTGATGATAATACAGAACTAAAAAATGTCTGGTTAAGAAAAAAGGAAGATGATGATTCTTTTTTGCCTGAAGACTTTCTTGGTAATGTTTTTAAATTTTAAATAATCAAATATTAAAAGTATTTTTAGATGTTTTTATTTGTTCTTCCTCAATTTGTTCAAATTGTGAACAAGCTGTTTATGATGATGAACTTACTCTTGGTTGGTGTGTCGATGATGCTAATTTAAACAGTGTTTGCCCTAATTGCCAGCACAATTTCTTACCTTCACTTAAAATTTGTATAAGAGTAAGGGAATTGCAACAAATACCTATTGACCAACAACAAAGCCCTAACTCGACAGGAACTTCATCTTTTTCTGTTACTAATACTTCTGGAAAGGTGACTGAATTAAAAAATGTTTTCTAGAATAATTTGTGCCTGCCTATAGGGGGTTCAAGTGGATCTCAAGTGTCAGGTTGGGGTTCGAGTACCTAAAAAAATACTGAGAGTTGAATTAAAAATTGTCTTGATGACAATGGGTACCTGTTTTTTCTCTCTTGTTTTTCCCTTGTTTTCTAAAGGGACTTCACACATCCAATCCACATCAAATTCTGATTTCTATAATTTTTTTTTCCTAATTTTCAGATAGTCCAAGCCTTTACTGTTCCATATGTTAATCCATTGGTATTACGACGTGAATTGGAAACACTTTTGATAGAAGATGGTCTTTCAATTCTTGGAAGGCCGTCAATGCGCATTTCCCATCCAATTATCTTTTGGAATATGTTCTATTATTGTCGTCGTCTTGAACTTCCAACACATTTACTTACTTGGGTATCTCCAGCTGTTGTCATTCATTGTGTGCAGAATATGTTGAGACTACCTTCACAAGAAGATGAGGAGGATACAGTGCAGAAAAATTAAAATCTGGTGGGAGCCCTTTAAATTTATTCTTTTAAAAATTAAAAAAATTATTAAATAAAATATGTATAATTTAAAAATTAATAAATTTAATTTTATTAAAAAATTTAATTTTTTGCGTGAAGATCGTTTATGCAATTGTTCCTTTAATTGTTCTTTTTTCTCTCCCAAATTTCTTATTTGACAATCAAAAGAATTTTTTACTTTACCCATTTAAGATAACGAGATATACTTCTTTAAAATAATTTTTTAATCTTGTTGTCATGGTAATCTTTCCGCCTACGTTTTTTCTTCTTTCCTCTAACGGTCTCTCCGACCCATACCCGCTTATCTAGCAATATTTCTCTATCAAGAATTGTTCTATTTCCATATTTTTTCGTCTTTACTTCGTATTTATGGGGCGCAATGGCTACGTGTTATTACTTTTCGTTTTTTATTAAGCCTTTTTTAGCGAAAACCCTCAATAACTCAGGTAATGCGCCAAGCCTTTCAAGTGCACACAATGTGTATTTTTTCTTTGCTTAATTAGTTAATTTCCATGGTTTCCTTTTTGTTTATAATTTGAATTTTCTGCCATATCATTAACAATTAACTTTTTTCTCTTCACTTCTTTCACGCAAACAGATTTGTTAAATTTAAGATTGGCATTGTTAAAAACTTTCTTCCCTTTTCTTAAAACATTGTGACAAAATTAAAAAGACCATGCCAACAAATATGAGGAACTTAAACTTTATTTTCCCAACAAAGCCTATTATTTTCCTCATAATCCGTCTACCTTTACTTTGTTATGTTTTTATATTACACCTGGCTAATATTTTATCATATTTATAATCCAATTATGAACAAATAATTTTTTTTATTAATTTTTCTTTTAGAAATTTTACAGAATTTTTAAAAAATCAAATGGACACCGATAAAACTCGGGCACTTTTTGCCCCACTTATTCAGCGACCAGTATTAACTGATCAATTACTTAACAGACCACCATTTAAATTTCTTCATGACATCGTATCAGAAATTATTAAATCTACAGGCTATTCAGACGGACTTTTTACAGACGATGAACTTGATTCTACTAAAGCTTCATCCTCACGTGATAGTAAAATTGCTTTTCTTCAAAAACTTATTGATTTACTTAATATTAATGGTGAATTAGATGATTTGAAGCCTGCCAAAATTGTTGCTGGAAAAGAACCAGAATTAACAAATATTTTACTTCAATCATTAGCTATTGAAGCTGCAGCATATAAACAACAACAAAAGGAGAAAAAGATAACAACTAAATTAAAATCCAGCAAAACTTCATCTAAAGAAAAGGCAGAAAAAAGCAAGGAAAGAGATAGTTCCAAATCCCGAAGTAAAACTACCTCGAAACTGAAAACTAAAGATGAAAAAGAAGAGAAAGTAAAAGTTCCAGAAGAGTCTTCAAAAGCTAAAAAAGTGAAGAATGAAGAACAAGTAATCCTTGAGACTAAAAGCAGAAGTAAGGAGAAAAAAAGTTCTACTTCTAAAGAAAAGTCATCAAAGGATACTACATTAAAGGAAAATAAAGAAAGGAAAAAGAAGAGGTCTGATTCAATTTCTAAATTTGGAACAAAAGTTTCTACAACTGAAGTGACTGCTTCAGCTTCTCCCATTTTATCTACTCAACAACAAATATCTCAACCTCATACAGAGTTGTTCTACAATTCTAGTCTTCCCAATACTGGAAGAACCCCACCAGGAAGAGAGTCAAGCGGTGGAACTTCTAAAGGAGGAGATGATTCTGGAATTGCAGAAGAAACAGGAGCAGAAAGTGAAAGGCACGATCTTTCAGAAAGATCTATTTCAGCTAAAAATAGGTTATTTATAATTCCAGATTATTAAAGAAATCTTTTGAATTCTAGTCGTCCTGAATTTATTGAAGTTACTGATTCAACACCTGATTTGCCTCCACCTCAGCCTTTTAGACCTGGCACAGCAATTGGACGACCCCAAACAGCGATAGGGAGGCCAGGAACAGCAGTAGCGCGTCCAGCACCTCCAAAGCCAAAGAAAAATATTATTGCTACAAATTTAAATGAAGAAGAGTCTTCAATACAAGCTGAAAATAAAATGTTAAATTTAATTTTGGATGAAAAGAAGGAAGAAACAAAAAATGAAGATTCTTGGTGGAATGGTGAATTAGTTGAAGAAGAGGATGAGCAACAATTTATATTAAATTCTACTGGTGCAAATATCAACAAGTTAGCAGAGAGTAATGAAGAACATGGAGTTCTTGTAAATAAAATTATCGAGAACACGAGAGAATTGGGAAAAGATCAAATTAAGGTTCTTAACTATTTAATAAGACATTTCATTGAAAAAATCAATTTCTAAAGGTTGACGATACATTTATGGAAGGAGATTCTCTTGATATGCACGAACAAATACGAATCCGTGCTGAAATTGAAACAACACAAAAATCACTTCAAAAAATGACTCAATATGTCCAACCATTAGTTAGGACATTAGAATTTGTTGTTGACGATTTTGATTCAATGTTGCGTGAATTGGAAGAGACAAGAAAACAAATTTCAATTTTGGAAAGAAAATTAGCCGAGCAAACAGTTAATGCAGATTCTGAGACAACAAAATTAAATATTGCAATCTCAACAATTGATAACGACATTCAACAAGTTAAAGAACAAATTGCTGGATCAACAGCAATTATTTTGAGGAATGAAAATAAATTATCAGAATTACTTGCAGTTCCTCACAAATAATTTTCTATCCTTCCCTCTCTCTCCCTTCTCTTTCATTTATATTAAATTTTCTAAATAGAAATTTTTAAAATATCCCAAAAATTTTCTCTCAATTTGCCTTAATTTTTCTGCATATACGATCTTCCCTCTGTATTATTTAATATATTCCGTGATATTAAAATTTTGTTTAAATTATTGTTCATCGTTAAAGATGATTAAAATATATCAAATTGTTTTAGAAAATCAGTTTTCTAAAGATAGATAAAAAATTTTTTTTAATATTTTAATTAACTTTTTAGCATGCTGCTTCATTGCCATATAACTTATCAATACTTTCGCTACAAATACTATGGACTAGTATTTCTGTGTTTGTTTAAGAAATTTTTGTTTAGTGAATATATATTTAATGATTCTTAAATTTTTTGACAAAAAAATATCAAATCTTGTACATCGACATTATTATCCCACATTTTTAAAATTCAGTACAATTTTTAGTAACTTGTGATTATTTAGATATATTTTTCTAAAGCTTTACTGATTTTAATTTTTATTAAAATATATTTTTGATATTTAATTCCTTTTAGGTTTGACGTTTTTAAAAACCATTTTTAGAATGGTGCGAATTTAACATCCAATTTTTACGTTTATCTATTTTTCTGACGTCGCAATTTTAAAAAATAAACGAGATTACTTTTCTTAACATTTTAAGCAAATTTTTGAATATCTATATATGTGTTGTTACAAATTTAACGTCTTAATTAAGAATCACCTTTGTTCTACAAAATTAACAATAAAATGTTAATAAAAATCAACATTAAAATCAGTAATGTATTCAAAATTGGCATTAATTTCCTCAATTTCCTTTTGCATTTATAAAAGCTTTGCCTCTTTTTTCGGGTCTGCTTTGTTTTAATGGATGGGATTTTTATAATTTTTTGCTTGTTTAAAATTAAATTTGTAAACATTTCAAGGGAAATCATTTAATTTCGAATCTGTCATATACACTCTTAACCTTTTTTGGTCTTCTCGATTCTTTTTGATTGTCTACAAGGCTTGGTGAATAAATTTGAATTTTTTTCTAATTTTTAAATCCCATCCATTTAAATTGCCATTTTAATTTACTCGATAAATTAAATAAATACTCTAAAAATTATTTTCCCTTTAAAATGACTTTTTTTAATTCGGTCTCATTTCTCCATTTATTGTAAAAGCTATAAAACTTTTTAATAAAAAAATATATTTTCATATATTTTCTTAAAATGTTTCAATTATCTTTATTCTTTTTTAAAAATCATCTAAATAAAAATTATAAGAGAAATGTCACTTACATCAACAAATTCATCATCAAATTTTTCATCGCGAGGTGTTCTTTTAAGAAATGAATTTTTAACGTTGGAGTATGTCAATAATAAACCACTTTTTAAGTCAATACGTAAAGCGGTGGGTTTTTAAAAAATTATTCTTAGAAATTTATGGAAATTTCTTGCGTTGATTGTGAGTTGAATTTTGCTTTCACTAGGAGCGAGTAGTGTTTGGAGGCTCGTAAAAAAACCGTACTCGTACCAGTTTACGGATACGAGAAAAAAATATGCTGTGTACGAGTGCTAGCAAAATTTTCCTTTCCAAACTGGTAGTGAGGCCCTCAAGAAATTTCCCTAGCAATTACCTATCTATTTTGATACTTATCTATTCTAGTTTGATTTCTAAAATCTTCCAATTATATTATCAGATTTAACTTTTTAGACTTCATTTCTACACAAAATGGGAATCCAAAGAAGGGATGGACATTTCCTCAATATTGAAGAAACTTTATATTTATCAGAAATTGGTGCTGCAATTGTTGTTGATCAAAAAGGGAAACAATTAACAATTCCCCAATTATATAAAATTTTGGGGAATTTACGTGTTTCTTTATTAAAGTCTTAATTAATTTAAAAAATATTTTTTAAAAAATTTATTTTAAAAGATATACAGTCTTTACTCAATTAATTAGAGCTGGTTATATTGTCAAAACACCCAAGAAAAATCAAGAAAATAATAACCAGTCTTCTTTTGGGTATTCTGTTAAAATGAGAACTTTTCAATTTCCTAAAGAATTAATGGATCAGGTGAAAGAAAAGAAATTACAAATTTTTTTAAATTTTCTTTTTAGTTTCCTCATGTTTATTCAACCAAACCCTCACCAGGCCCTTTTTCTTTTCGTCTTCATCTTCCACAAATAAATACTCAATCTGGAATAACTCATTTATTCATGTCTGATATTGAAAGTGAACATATTAAAATTTTAGATTTAAATACAAAAATGGCAGAAAAAATAAAAAAAGTAAAAAAAAGAAAATTAAATAATTATATTTAAATTCCCCTTAATTTTTAAGTCAGAATTTCAATTAATTTCAACTATTCGACGTTTCGACAGAGAACCTTGGGAATGTTTAAGACCTAGATATTGGCCTAATTTTAATTGTTTAAGTTCTTGTGAAAATTGGAAAACTTATCAAATAAGAAGGGAAGCAATACTTTCAAATAGAAGAGGAAATAAAAGAGGGAGGGGGAGAGAAGATGAGGAGAGAAATAATAGGTGGAAATAAATTTGAAAAATAATTGAAAAAATATTTTTTTTAGAGAGCCTGGCTACGATTATGAATTGTTTAGTAAAGGTGCTACTAACAGAGCAATCTACAGAGTTTTGGTTATTGAGTAAGGAAGAAATTTTTGGGTTTTAAAAAATTGATTTTTCGAATTTCGAGAAGTTGGCTATTTGATATTCTGAATTTTCTTTAAAATTTTTAAAATTTAATTTTGAAAATACATATGTATCAACAAAAAATCTATCACCAATTTAGTGACCGTTTTCTATCTGGCCATCCAAACTTTGCTGAACTTCAATATTTAACTGAATCACCAAATCATTTAAATAATGAAGAACAAAAAATAAATAATTTTGTTAATTATTTGCCACCTCTTCTAGTTGCTAGTGGTTCTCCAAATTGTTTAAGATTTATACAAGTAAAAATAATTTTTAAAATATTTAAAAATTATTTTTTGTAGATTCAAAAGGGAGATCCTTTAAATATTTGTTTGCCTCAGAATGATTTTACAGAATTTAATAATTTATGTTAAATACCTACATATACTAATTTTGTTTCTCGATTTTTCTTTTTTACAATCGGGCCTCACTCATTTAAAATTACAATTTTTGCCTTAAAAGGTTACCTATAAGTGAGGTCCAACTACATTTTTCTTCACTTATGCTGATAAATTAGTATACTCGAGAACTAAATATTTAAGAAAATTAAATAATGGGCAAAATTACAAAAGAAAATGAAAATAATAGGGAGGGTCAAAAATGGAAATATAAAAATTTTTTTCTTTGTTTTATTGTCTTCTCGTGAGAGGGAAGTATCAATACATATTGTATTTATTAGTGATCGGACGGTGATGAGAGCTTGAACAATAATTTCGAGATATTGTGTTTTTCGAAATATCGATTCTCGCACGGCTCTCCCACTCCAATCTCTAGTATTTAAAATACACAAATAAATCAACATAAAAAATTAATTTAAAAATTTGTTTCCTTTTTAAAATTATTCTTTTACTAAAATCTATTTTTGTTGCAATTCGTTAACAAACTTTTACAATTTTTTGCAATCTTTCAACTTAACCACAAAAATATTTTTAAATTTTTTAAAAATATTTTTATTTCCCAGAAGGAAATTGGATCGATCTAATCTCCTAATTTACACACTGTTTGGAACATATATTCTTTTAAGTATCAAAAACCTCGATAAAAGTTGAGGGGAGAGAGTAGGCGGTTAAATAAATATATTTTAATTGCCAGCTGTTTCTTTAAAGTCAAAGAGGAAAAAAAATAAGAAAAAATAAGAAAAGAATGTTATGCCCTAAATATATCGGATATTCACACTTGCCCGAAGGGGATATTTGGCAATATAAAAGAAGAGAACTTGAAAAAGTAGAAAAAGAATTCTCGTTCGTGCGTAAATTGAAAGCAAAAAATAAAAAAAAAACTTTTTTTGAATGGCCCAACTGTTTTTACTATTTCTCCGTCCGCAATGGAATTGATCTCCCTGTGAGGGATGGGGGCGGATAAAGCTAACTTAATAGATTTTATTGTTGTTTGTCTTAACTTTGTTCTCTGACGGCTGACTTTAAATATTTGGGGAGAAAATAAAGAGTTAGTTAAGGGTGTTTGGGCGTTGAAAAGTTTGGGCAGTTTTATGAGTTGAAAAATTTAGATGATTATCAATACTCAATTTTCTAATAACCTTATTACAGTTTTTCGAAGTTCGGAGTAAAGGACTAAGATCAGTGGATCTTTTGGAACAAAATTCGTTTGATTGTTCACCTACATATTCTTGATTATGATATTAATTTTAAATTTTCGGTAAAGACCTTGAGCTATATTTTTCAACTATCATCCAGAGTACATAGGGCCCTATTTGAACGTGAGACTTTATTCCAAAAAATATGGTATTTATATTCAAAAAATAAAAGTTCGCCTTTCTTTGAAAAATATAAGACATCCAAAAATCCTAAAATAATTCTCTACTTTATTTAGAATTAAAGAGGATATATTAAATGTTTTTGTTTGAATATCAAAATAAAAAAATTTTACTACTTACCGGCCCAGCGCCCAAATATCCTCACCACGAGATAGTCTTGATCTCTCTTCCGGATTTGAGGAAAGCTTTTGAGGTTTTTTAAGATGGACATGAGAAAGAGAATTTACAGAGTTTTCCTCTAAATGATCTAAAATCGAGAAAAGAAAGGGAGAAAAAAATTATTTTTTGAGGACAGCCGAAGTTTGAGGAGTGTGTGTGTGTTATAAAACATTTGTGAGATAAAAAAACAAGCAAAACTAAAATAGAGAAAAACAAAAAAAAGTAAAAGCATTTTCTAGTATTTTTAGCAAAAAGAATTAAAAAATGAGAGGAATGGATCAGAAAGAGGAACAACCTTTCTTTGCCTTTTTTCTCTTCAAAAACAAAATTATTGCTTTTCTT